TACAGCAGTATGATAGAACTAAAAAAAAAAATCTAGAAAGTATAGAAGCAGCATTCACTTAATAGAATTTCATACTCCAAACCCATTTGAATTTGAATTCCCTCTGTTCCCTAACGCATGTGGAGTAAGGGGTCAACATTATTAGCCTTCCTTTCCTGGCTCCACCTCCCCAACTTGCTACTAGTCACTACTTCTGATATGGGGGGAATGGTGGGGTGAGGTGGGGTAGAGAAGGGAAGATGCTAAGGAAATGGGGAGCAGTTTTTGTGGCAGGTATAGTTGTATCCCACCTGCAGGGCCCACTAGCTGGCAATGATAGTTGCTGACTCAATGGGGCACCTTTGTGGCTCCCTCATGCATCCCTCATGGTTGCCTGGTCTCCCTCTTTTCTGTCTGGCTACTTCTCAGGTCCTTCAGACAGCACACTTGGTCAGGACCATTATTCCACAGAATACTTACCAAGTCTCAAAAACATCCGCATCTATTCCGCCATGGGAGAGAATAGAGCCCAGTCCCAAAGCATCCCTCTGTGTGCTCTGCCAGCACACAAGGCACTTCCAGACACAGCATCTCACATTTAATATATTCACTGATAAGAACTTCAAGTTCCTGAAGATGCATGAAGGTCCTTAAGTGCTCCCTAGAAAGGTCTCTCCTTGATTTGAGAAGAGGGAACATCTACTAAATTCTGTACTACTACTACTACTACTACTACTACTACTACTACTACTATTATTACTACTACTACTACTGGGCTATTTGGTCCAAGTTCAAGGACAGATGAAGAGACCTTTAATTCTAAAGTTTTTCCCATTTTAACGTAGCAGTTGTGTTACAAATGCTGCCTCCCTTCACCCTCTGCTGACCATTCTAGCAACTGCACCTTCTTGAATCTCATTTTGCAATTGCTTTCATTTCTCCAAGTTCCAGAATATGGTTAAAGTCAATTTTTTAATGTTTTATTTATAACGCTACTTGTTCACACTCTAGAGAAAATGAAATTGTTACCTGCAGCTAGTATTCATTTTGGCACTTGGGTGCTGAAGACAGATTGTCTGTGTTCATGAGCCAGTTCTTCCACTTCATAGCTTAGACATCTTTGCTATCCAGTTTCCCTATCTGAAAATAAGAATAATGACCTTGCAAGGTTGTTGTGAGGGTAAATGAATGAATGTCTACAAAACACTTAGAACAGTATCTGGGAAACAGTAGGTCCTCATTATTCTTATTGTTTAGTTGGTGGTGGTAATGTATTTCGTAACTTTCATATGAATGACAGTTTATTTGTTCTTTTAGTACACTGAGCTCCTATAAAATACACACCCAGACTCTCTTCTAATTTGTCTTTAAAATTCTAGCACTGTGTGCAGTGCCTGGATACATGGTAATCACCAACTCTTTGTTAAATGTAATTTATAAGAAACATGATTATTAAGAATATAGGCCCTGAACTCAGACTCCTTGAGTTCATATACTGGCTCTGCCATTTACTAGCTATGAAACTTAACTTTTCTGTACCATTTTCACATACATTATTAAATAATGGTGATTACAACTCCTACTTCATAAGATTGTTGTTAGAATTAACTCATGTACATGAAAAACAAAGTGAAATCTGGCACACAGAAAACAATAAATCAATAAATGTGAGATGTTTGTTTATAAAGATTTCCCAAAGTAATGTTTATAAAGTAATATAAGTAGATGTGAAAGAGGATGCGACAGACCTGAGTTTGAACCCTGATGCTAACACTCATTAAAAATATGTTTTTAAACACGTTACTCAGCCTCTAAGCCCGAACCTAGAAATCAGATAACATGACTTCCCTTCTAATGCCTGTGGAAGGACTCCATGAAATGGAGTGTGTGTATTGATTAAGACTGTATTTGAGGCATTGTAATCATTTACTAAGTGATGAGCTTTGCTTTGCTGATATAGCTCTTATTTTTATATTTAATATCTTTACAACTAAGGAATTTAAAATCTAGATTAGGAACTAAGACATATATGTAAATAACTATAATGAAAAATATATGTCAGAAGTTTAAATACTTTGATAGTTTATGAGTACAAGAGATCAGTGCTGCCTGCAGTGATAGTATTTCCTGAAAGAGATCATTTCCATAAGGGATAATAGGAACTAGGTGGACATCCCAAACCAAAAAAAACACACGACACAAGGAAAACTGAACCAAAGCAGGGTGGTTCAAAACTGAACAAAAACAGGATGCACAAAGCTTATTTGAGCAGTAGAGAAAGAGGGGCACAGTTGGTAGGTTTATTAAGTCATTCATCAAATTAACCAGTGCAATGTTTTACTCTACACCTACACTGTCCAACAGTGCAGTCATTAGCCATATGTGGCTAGTGAGTCCTTGAAATGTGGTTGATGCAACTAAGGAACACAGTTTTTAATTTACTTTAATTTTAATTAATTTCAATGTAAAAACTGAAGCAGTCTGTATGAGCCAACAATTCCACTCCCACATGTATACTCATAAGGATTGAAAACAAGGGCTGGACTTGTATGCATGTTTGTTATGGCATTAATCTGAACAGTTGAAAGGTAAAAGCAACCCAAGTGTCCATCAACAAACAAATAAACAAAATCTAGTATATACATACAGTGAAATATAATTCAGCTATAAAAAATGATTCTGATACAATATGAATAAACCTTGAAAATATTATGCTAAGTGAAATAAGCCACACACACACTAGTATTTTGGGATTCCACTTACATGAAAGGCCGAAAATAGGCCAATTCATAGAAACAGAAAGTAAATTAAAATTTGTCAGGGGCTAGAGGGAATGGGGAATGAAGAGCTTTTGCTCTTCATTTGTTAACTTGATTGTGGTGATGGTTTCACAGGTGTATACATATGTCAAAATACATCAAACTGTAAAATTGAAATATGTGAAATCTATTTTGCATCAATTATATCTTAATAAAACTGTTATGTAAGAGCCAAAAAAGCATAGAAAACAGATTAATTAAAAGCATAGAAAACAGAAAACAGAGCAAAAACATAACTAGACACAATTTAGCTTGATGAGCACAGCTCCTTGGAAAAAGAGAAATGCTTTCTGGCTTTTCTGGTTAGAAGAACACTTGCTCAGCCTATTATTTTAAAGAGTTTTTCTATAAATATAGAACGAGACTCAGGAGAATCCAAGGACAAGGCACCTTAGTACAATAGGCCTAATGACAACTGAAACCGGAAGCCTTAGAAATAAGTAATCTCATCTCTATTTGAAGATATGAGGTTTTTGTTTTCTCTCTTTCCTGGTGATTCTGTTTTTCTCTACTCACTTTGTCTGTTCTTCTCTCTCTACCAGTTGGCTCCCAATGCTCATAGTTTCTGTTCCTCTGTAACTTTTTACTTGCACTTGACTATAATGAGCTTCTAATTGCTGGGCTGTCAGTTGCCTACCACCAAGAAATACTTCTTTTCGCTGCTTCTTTGATTGTCTACATTAATCTTTTTCTGCCGCACCATTGGTTAAAAAGTTCCCATCAGCTCATGCACTGACTTCCCTTAGGTCAGATTGCCCATCCCTGGGTCCAAACAGTCGTGGTCAAGAGGAAAGACAAAAAACAAACAAACAAAAACAACCACACACACATATGTACACACAAATATACAAATAAAACAAATATGACAAATAATAATTTTTAAATCCACGTATGGGCATATGGGTAATTCTGTACTTTTTTGTTTATTTGTTTAAAATGTTTAGTTAGAAATTGGAAAAAAGAAGCCATGTAGCCAAAACCTACCCATCTTTAACAGTCCATTTTGTGTTTCATCCACCTCTTTGAAGACTTTCTTAATGATTGCATGACAAACTGAGTTCTCTTTTCTGAATTCCTCTGGTACTTTTACTATGAATTTAGCATTTAACATTCTGCCTTGTAGGTATTCTGAATAAATACATTATAAATCCCCAGATAACAAAGTGTAAGGTTCTTGTAGGGTAGTACAAAAACAAGCTATATTTGAAGGAGATTATGGCCGGCCTGTAGTGGGCAAAAAGGATTGTGAAATTAGTAGCAAGATTTAGGTGTGAGTGATGATAGCCTAAACTAGGATAGTAGCAAGAAAAATGGAAAATCCTGGGGATCGTGGGAAACATTTACACTCCTGGCTTTCTTTTGGGGTTTTTATTAGCTTGCCCAAGAGATATCCAAACCTGCACAGCTTTACAGATCGCCAAAGCTGTTGAAGCTTTGTAACTTCAACAGCTCTCCTCCCAGAACTCAGGATTAAATTGGAAGAGGGTCACTTTAAGTAGAATTCTTCAGGCGGACATTCGCTTTCTACATTCATTGGCTGAGCCGAGTTTATTTAGATGGGCTCACGTTGTACCTTTATTTCCAAGGACACTCTCTACAACCTTGCGCATAGGCAGTAATAAATAGCCTAGGCAACATTTGGAAAGGTCATAACAGGCAACGTGATTCAATTACCTTGCTTGTTTAAATTTCTGAAGCCCCGAACATTCTTTTGCTTTAAGTCCAGCGTTTGAGAGTAAAGTGCAGTTTGATTCATTACAGCAGAAACAATTTGGGTTTGGCATGATTCCCCAGATAAATAAGGTTGAATCACCCCTCCACGCAAAGCCTCCGAACCAGGGCGCGACCTCTCACCCAGATTGCCGGAGGGCCCGGCGCCAGCTCGCCCTCCCAGCCCCAGTCGGACTGCCCAGCCGCCTTGGGGAGGCCCCAACGCCCTGCCGTCAGCCTCAGCTCCCCCCAGGAGGGTACCCTGTGTGAACTCAGAGAACCAGACGGGAGCAGTCTTTCCGAGAGCCACCCGGCCGAACAAACTGGGTGCAAAAGCGCGTTAAAACCCTTCCCACGGCCCCAGGGCCTGCGTGTAGTGGATTACAGAGCGAGCTCCGGTCAGCAGATCCTGCAGCTCCGCCCATCGTTTCCCGCCCATTGTTTTCCCCGGTTAGTCCTCCCCCGGCTTCGGCCCCACCCATTTGCATCTCGGTGGGCGGGGCCGAGATTCAAATACCCTCTGCGCCCAACAGCCATTCCGAAGAACAGTTCTCAGGCAGCGAGTCATCATGGCAGCGTTGTTTAGGCGAAGCTGCGTGGTGAGCCAGAGAGCAGGGCTGGGTGGGGCTGAGGAAGTTGGGGTGTTTGGGGAATAGGCTGGGGCCGGAGATTGGCAGGGCCGGGGGACGGCGGGTGGGGAGCCGCGGTGTGGAAGGAGGCTGCTTCGGGTTCCTTAGCCCTCTTGATACTTGACCTTTACTTGTGGGCCTGAATTCCGGACTCCAGCCTGGCTTTCAGGCACACTTCCTTCTCTTACTTTGGGACGGGTTACTTCCCAGGTTTTGCTGGGCATCTGGCCCCTCCATATAGTGGCGCCCAGTTTTTAGAATATATTTTTATTTCTCTGGTCTGGAACCCTCCACATATTTCCCCCAGTAATCCCACCCTTTTCTGAACTGAGCCTGTGTCTGAATCCTGTTTTTGCTGTTGAGAAAACGCTGTCTAGCAGCTCTCTATCCCCAGCCCTAGAAGGGAATCTTAAAGTAAATGTCGTTCTGGAATTGATGTATACTAGGAAGTGGATAATTCAGATAGTCTTACCTTGGGGCCTGCAAAGTCACGGGGAAAGGGAAAGTGAAGAAGCAACTCCTTGGGATACTTCGTATATTTAATATGCTTTTGGTTTTGCAATATGTTTCTATGTGACATACGTTAAAAAAAGAACAATCTGCAGAATTCTTGAAGTTTGTGTATATTCTAGTGCTGTGTTGCAGATTCTAAATTGTCTTACTAAATGCATTTTGCTATCTTAAATATTATTGATACAATTCACACAAGAGGCCACTAAAATGTCATTTATAATTGAGTTAAGAAAGTTATGTTCTTGACCAAAAAAGTAGCAGTGTTAGAATTTAGAATTACTTCAGTGGGTTGTTGCCCCATATTTGTCATTGCCATTTGAGTTAATGGGCCCTGAAGACAGAAATTGGGGGATTTCTTAAGTGATTTTTAACATGACACCAGAAAAAACCAGATTTCTCAATCTGTTCAAGAAAGGATATAGAAAAACCTGATCTAGAAGATTTGAGAAATCAGCTGACAGACTTATGGGAGCTCCCCTGTAGGTAACTAACTTCTTTTCTCTCACTACATTTAAGATTCTCTCTTTATCTTTAACCTTTGCCATTTTAATGCTGATGTATCTTGGAGTGGGCCTCTTTGCATCCATCTTGTTTGGGAGACTCCGTGCTTCCTGGACTTGCATGTCCATTTCCTTCACCAAATTAGGAAAGTTTTCGTTCATTATTTTTTCAAATACATTTGCCTTTCTTGCTCTTTCTCTTCTCTTTCTGGCAGCCCTATGATATGAATGTTGGAATGCTTGAAGTTGTCCCAGAGGCTGCTTACTCTATCTTGTTTTTTGGGGGGGATTCTTTTTTCTTGTTGTTGTTGTGAATGATTTTTGCTTCCTTATGTTCCAAATCATTGATTTGATTCTTGGCTTCATCCACTCTACTGTTGTTTACCTGTAAATTGTTCTTCATTTCAATTAGTGTATCCTTCATTTCTGGCTGGATCTGTGTTATGCTGTTGAGGTCCTCACTCAGTTTCTTGAGCCTCCTTATAACCAGTGTTTTGAGTTCTGCATCTGATAGATTGCTTATCTCCCTTTTGTTTATTTCTTTTCCTGGAGTTCTGATCTGTTCTTTCATTTGGGCCATGTTTCTTTGTCTCCTCGTTTTGGCAGCCTCCCTGTGTTTATTCCTGTGTATTAGGTAGAGCTGCTGTGACTATCTTGGTAGTGTTGTCTAATGTGTTAGGTGTTCTGTAGGGTCCCATGGCACAGCCTCCCCTATCAACCAAGCTGGGTACCTGAGGATCAATGGGAAGGATTTGCCCAGTTCAGTCAGCTGCAAGGATTGGCTGTTATCATTTATCACCAATGTCCACCCTGTGTGGAGGCTCCGCTGTGCAGGGGCAGAGTGGTGGTGTTCCCACGTGATCTGTAGCTGTCCACTGGGTGCTCTGACCCTGGGGTTTCCTGGTGCAGACTCTGTCCAGCAGAGTCCGCCTGTTGTGGTTGACGTCGAGAATCAGTGCACAGGCGACAACAATCCTGTGTGGAAAAAGGGAACAGGCACGACTACTCTCTCAAGGGGAGAGTGCCTATGGTGCCTGGGCCACTCCCTCAAGAGGGGAGCACCCCGACCCTTGCCTAGACAGGCTTTTATTATTTTCCTTGGGTCTTACTTCAAAGAAAGATTTATTATCTAACACGTAGAACATTATTGTCTACATTTTAGGTACAATCAAGGAAATAAAAATAACATGCAGAGGGGGATGGCAATGAGCTGATTAGCTCTGTCCTTGGGAGAACTCATACAGGCTTTGGAAGTTACCTTGAAGATAATATACATTTGTTGCTTCAGACCAGGGTGAGGGAGTTTTAGCAAAAGCAAGCCATAAGTCTTTAGTACTTTCCATACTTACCATGGAAAATACTTACCATAAAAGGTAAGTATTTTCTAGGCCTGATTCCCCCGGGAAAATTCAGTTTGGAGGTCTGACCCCTGCCCACCACCTCACATCTGTAGGTTTTCTATACAGAACTGAGTCACATTTGCCAGGCCAAGACAAACCGGTCCCCTACAGTTTCCCAAGTGGTGTAGGCCATGTTCTGCCCCCACCTGTGTTTTACTCCAGGCTACCTTGCCTAAGCTGTAAAGCAGTCAGAGACAGCTGCTACTTGTGCTGAGCTCAGAGGTTCTAAGGCAAAACCAAGCTGTGAATCTAGACTGGCTGTTGCTTATTTGAGAGGATTTAGGAAGTTGTGAAGCATGAGCCCAGACCAGCCATTCACAAGAAAAGCAGGTTAGGTGGGCCTATAAGTTGGTTGTGCTGAGTCTCTGGAGATCTCCAAGGCAGGTCAAACATTATTAGCCTTTTTCATGGAGTCTCAGATATGGTGCCAGCTTGCTGGCTCTGTGGGAAGAGGGTTTTGAAAAGGGACAATGGCCTCTGCTTGCCTTGATGCCAGATACTTCAGTTTCTTCCTGTATACCACTGGTGCTTTTCAGGCTGCTGCCCCATTGCTGGTGTTCAGAGGGAGTGAGTCTGAGTAAGTCCATTTGTGGGTTCTTTAAGAGGAACTGCTTGGAGTTCCAGCATTTTCTTCCACTAACTCAATCTCTGTTGGTTTTTATAGCCAGAAATGGTAGAGACTTATGTTCCTGGTTCTGGGACCCTGGGCTGGAGGCCTTTTGTGGCGCTGGGACCCCTTACTCCCAAGATAATCTCTCCCGAATTTTTATCTACCACACATGGGTGAGGGATTAGCCCGTTCCATATCTGCACCTCTCCTACCAGTCTGGATAGATGTGGTTTCTTTAATTCCATAGTTATCAGACTTCCATTTAACTCAATTTCTCATAGTTTTGAGTAATGGTTATTCTATATCTTAGTTGTAATTTTGGTGTGATTGTGCGAAGAGGCAAGCCATATCTGCCTATGCCACCATCTTGACTGGAAGTCCCATTCTATAATCCCTTTTCATACCCTATTTTCCAGGTTTGAAAGTAACTACGAGTTTGCAACTAATCCAAGGTCTCAAAAATATTGTATAATCTCAACTCAAATTCAGTTTGAGTTTAGCAGTTCTAAGTTCAAATACTGTACTATTTCTATATCGATGTCTACTAAGCCACCTATCTAATTAAATGGCTAACATTAGTATATAATTAATAGGTCACTGGACAGTGTTCCCTGGCTATAGCTACCTTTCCCCCCCAAAATCACATTAACTTTTTGTAAATTATTTTAAATTTAATATACCCTATTTAATGTCTCTCAAAAAACTATTGTACTTTTTTGGTGAGGTCTAATTTTTGTGTAGTGGTGTCTGAACACACATTGAGAATAGTTAGATTTTTTTGGTCTGATTGTTGTGGTATGCTTTTCTTCTGTACAGAACCTAATAACCAATTAGACTTGAAACTGAAAGAGTGGGTTAGCAAAATGGGTGATGGCATGGGTTCTTGGTAGTAAATGTTAGAGTTAGAATCTTGGTTCCACCACATAGTAGCTGAGCAACTTTAGCCAATTTTACTTGACCTTTCTGAACCTCAGTTTTTTCGTGTGCAAAATAGGAATAAATATAATACCTTAATCGTAGGCGTGACCTGGATAATTAGTTAATTAATATGTAGAATATGACTATAAATAAAAATAGGTTTGGTCTATGATAAGTAGATAATGAGGATTAGAGAAACCACATTTTACTTTAGAAATTAATGAAAATTGCAAAGCAATGTGAATTTTCATACTCTGTGTAGTTTTTCCAAATTGTATAAAGTATGTTGTTATTTTGAAGGGGCAGTTTAAATCAAGATATTTGACAGTCTTTATTGTCACTTTAAATCTATAACTTAAAGTTTCATCTATAAAGTAGACAGTTTCTTTTTATAGATTTTGAAAAACAAGCAAATTCAGTTCTTGATCTTTTAGTATATTGTTCAGTTTTTCTTTCAAACTTACTAGAATTGCCAAGGAATAGCTCTCTCAGAATCTTGTGAAATATAAATTATATAACTTTGACCATCCCCAGACATTTCTCAAGAGTTATATGATTTTCAGACTTCCACCAAGATGGAAGCATAGGTGGAGATGCCGTGCTTTCTCACACAACCAAGTTTAGAGACAACAAAATGTTAGCAACAGAAAACACATCCAGAACACAGAAAATTGAATTTTTCAGAAGTCTGATAACAACAAATTCTTCAGCCTGACCGGTAAGAGGGGTGAAGCCAGCAGCTGGCAGAATGGGGTTGCACAGGAAAATTCCATCAGACGGACTCAGGCGCGTGGATCCCAGGCGTGGGGTTGCAAAGGGCGGACCCAGTGAGTGACCCAGTGAGCGACCCAGTGAGCAACCGGTGGACCCAGCGAGGGCGCAGGGCAGAGGGTTGACTGTGGCAGTGCATTCCTACGCAGATAGACTGGTGAGGGAGTGGGCAGTGAGACGGGACCGAGTGGGCCCCAGCTGTGACAGGCAGCAGAGGGGGCCGCCATTTCCCCACTCTGACCCTGCCCCCACATACAGCATCGCAAACCAGCGACCTGGGCGGCCCAGCCCTGGTGAACACTTAAGGCTCCGCTCCTCATACTTAACGGGCGCAAACAGACCGAAAATGGCTCAAGAAGATCTCAAAGCCCCAGAGCCCATAACTCTAAGCAACGAAGAAATAGCAAAACTTTCAGATGCACAGTTCAAAACACTGGTGATCAGGATGCTCACAGAACTGGTGGATTTTAGTCACAAATTAGAGGAACATATGAAGGCGAAACTAATTGAAATGAAGGGAATTGCATAGGAAACCAATAGTGATGAAAAGGAAACTGGGACTCAAATCAAGGGAGTGGACCAGAAGGAAGGAAAAAATGGCCAAACAGGAAAATATGAAGAAACAAGAATTCAAAAAAATGAGGAGAGACTTAGGAACCTCCAGGATATCTTTAAACACTCCAGCATCCGAATTATAGGGGTACTAGAAGGGGGAAAGGAACAGCCACCAGTGGAAAACTTATTTGAACAAATAATAAAGGAGAACTTCCCCAATCTGGCAAAGGAAATAGACTTCCAGGAAATCCAGGGAGCTCAGAGAGTCCCAAAGAAGTTGGACTCAAGAAGGAACACACCAAGGCACATCATCATTACATTAGCCAAGATTAAAATGAAGGAGAGAATCCTAGAAGCAGCAAGAGATAAGGGGACAGTCACCTACAAAGGAGTTCCCATCAGACTGTCAGTGGATTTCTCAAAAGAGACCTTACAGGCAAGAAGGGGCTGGAAAGAAGTATTCCAAGTCATGAAATCCAAAGACCTACATCCAAGATTACTCTATCCAGCAAAACTTTCATTTAGAATAGAAGGACAGATAAAGTGCTTTTCAGATAAGATCAAATTCAAGGAGCTCATCATCACCAAGCCCTTATTATATGAAATGTTAAAGAAACTTATCTAAGAAAAAGAAGATAAAAAATTTGAACAGTGAAAGGACAGCAAACTCACAGTTATTAAGAACCACACCTAAAACAAAAGCAAACTAAAAGGACAGCTAGATCAGGAGCAGAACCATAGAAATGAAGATCACATGGAGGGTTAGCAACAGGGGATCGAGAGAAGGAGAAGGGGGGAAAGGGTACAGAAAATAAGTAGTATAGATGGTAGGTAGAAAATAGATAGGGGGAGGGCAAGAATAGTAGGGGAGATACAGAATCTAAAGAACTTGAGACACATGTTCATAAACTAAAGGGGAGAATGGTGGGGGAGGGGGTGTGCAGGGTGGAGGGGAATGAAGGGGGGAATAGAACAACTGTAATGGCATAATCAATAAAATAAAAAAATTAAAATAAAATAAAATGATAAACATTTTTTAAAAGTTATATGATTTTCAGTTTGGTAATTTTAGTTAATATAGGTGATTATGTTTGTCTACAAACTGTGAGTATACAAATAGGTTGCAAAGGAATATTGAGTGTATATCTGATTATGTTTTTAACATATCCCTTTGAAGAAACATGAGTATTAGGTTGGGACAAAAGTAAGTTTATAGGTGTGAGTACATGAAACACAATTTATTTTTGTGTTATCTATTGTATATATTTTCCGTGCAAACAATTTTAAATTTACTTCTGCCCTGCCCTGTATTTCAGATAATTAGGACAAGTAGTGTATTAACAGTTTAGAACAGAATTGGAAAATTTAAAAGTTGAAGGGACGGATAGTAAGTTTTGGCTTGTGGACCATGTGGTCCCTGTGACAACTCTACAACTTTTGTGTGGAAGCAGCAATTGACAATGTGCTGTGTCTGTATTCCAATAAAATGTAATTTATAAAATTGGTGGTTACCATAATGCGTTGGCTCCTGGCTTTGACCATTCTAAGAATGCTTAAAGACAACAGCAGAAAATAAAAAACATGGTTTTAGGCTACTTTGTTTTGTGAAACAGAGTGAGGTATATTAGAAAATGAGATCGTCCAAGTGGGAAGATTCCCAGAGGCATACCCGGGAAGCTCACAGGGACAGGGTATCAAAGTTGATGACCTGGGCAGCTCTTGCACACAGTATAATACTATCCTCTTGTTGCCATAACCTCAATCACAAGCATCCTAGAGCTTGTAAGTAAAATATCCAAAATAATGGTTCTGAGTCTGCTACTACTCCTGACTGTTACTTGCCTTGGAAACACTCCATGTTAGTAGAGTGAATACGACTGATTAGTTTTATTTTCATTGCTTAAAACATGGCCTCTTTGATAGGTGTTCAAATGCCTGGTAATTGGCATATTTAATATAGAAATCAAATTGTAGTTGAAGGCACTTAAGTAAATGACTCAAAAAACTCTGCTGAGTGGACAAACAAATTGCCGTAGTCACTTGTAATTGTCAGGATTCTCTTACTTGATTACTGTTTAATTTATCAAATTAACTGAATAAAATTGTTCTTTACAGGTCCTGAGAAATCGTTCTTGTTTTGACTGGCGATCACAACATACAAAAGCTGCCGTACAACATGAACGAAAATTGGGATTTAGTTTTGGTATATGTTTTGTTCTGTCCTTTGACTTTAAACTCAAACTTATTATATATATATATATATATATATATATATATGCAGCTTTATATATGTCTTTGTCTGGAATACATTTATTTCAGAAAATTTGGTAATGTCTGTCAGTGAATAGAATCAGTCATCATCCACAGATGGTCCACAGCTAGTCTCACACCCATTCTTCCTGATCTCATTTTCTCCTTTAAGCATAATTACCCACCTATAGGTCTATGTTAGCATCATACATATATTCTTGCCCTGCTTTCTAGGTATGTAACACAAAATAAATAACAGAATTACTGATATGTAGTCTTCAAATTAAAAATTTTAATGCAGTAAATACTTCTTAAACATTTATTAGATAAACAATGTTAGGTGCCAGCTAATAAGCCAAAGCCTGTTTGGCCACAATATGCCTGAACTGCAGTTTTGGTGGAGTTGATGTGGTTCTTAGTTCTGGGACCAGGGATCCATGTGGTATTGGAGCAAAAAGGAATACGATTACCCCTTCTTCTCTAAAATAAAGATCCCAGGCGGAAAAATTGAAATAATAATTCCTGCCTTTGGCATCCTTCCCTTCCTAAAGTGCTTCTTTTTTTTAAGTTATTATGATATCTTTCCCCTAGTTAAAAACCCATTTTTTCCATTCCTTGGACTCAGAAAGTAGTTAAAAAGAGCTAAGATAATGAACTCACACCCAGGCAACAAAAACAAACTCAGAGCTCTGTAGGCTTATTATTTTTGGTTTTTGGCTTTTTTTTTTGGTTATTTTTAAGATTGTTAACTTCTTTATAAAGTTTTTAAAAATAGAATTAAATAAAAATTTTCCAAACACAGGCCTGCGAACCAGAGGATCGCGGTTCAATTCCCAGTCAGAGCACATGTCTGGGTTGCAGGCCAGTTCCCAGCAGGCCAGTTCCCAGCAGGGGATGCATGAAATGCAACCATACACTGATGCTTCTCTCCCTCTCTCCTTCTCCTCTAAAGATAAATAAATAAATAAATTTAAAAAAAAGTTTTCCGGTGATGAGAGGATAGCAGTTTAGGGCACTGGATGTTATTAATTCCTTGTTCAGATATTATTAGCATAGGTTTGATTTGATTGCTCTCTGGTTTGTCACTTACAGATTGTAAGAGTCTATCTAGCAGCAGAAATCTGTGGTTGTTCGCTGAATGACAGGATAGGACGGATACAAGAATTTAGGAGGAGATTGTGAAGCTCATTTAAGGGAATAAGGATAACACATGGAATAAGTTAAACATTTCCTTTTTGATAGGTGTTCAAATGCCTGGTAATTGGCATATTTAATATAGAAATCAAATTGTAGTTGAAGGCACTTAAGTAAATGACTCAAAAAACTGCTGAGTGGACAAACAAGTTGCCATAGTCACTTGTAATTGTCAGGATTCTCTTACTTGATTATGTTTAATCAAGCAGTAATTACTGTTTAATCAAGCAAATTACTGTTTAATTACAGCAGAATTCTTGAGATACAAGAATTTAGGAGGAGATTGTGAAGCTCATTTAAAGGAATAAGGATAACACATGACTAGTTGTCTTTGGTTTTTTATCTGTAAAATGGGAATAATAGCGACAACACAGGATTTATCTGAAGATTAAATTTATGTATAAAGTTGCTCTCACATAGTTGTGGCTGGACCAAGGTAGGCTCTCAATGATAGATCTCTGCCTTTTCTACTGTTTATCCACCCGTAACCTTGGTATGGACTGACCCCAGTTTTATTTATTTATTTTTTAAAGATTTTATGTCTTTTTAGAGTGAGAGGAAAGGAGGGAAAAAGAGAAGGGGAGAAACATTGATTGGTTGCCTCTATGAACAAAACATCAGTCCATTGCCTCTCGAACACCCCCAGCACACCCCAGGCCTAGGGCCTGGCTAGCAACCCAGGCACGTTGCCCCTACTGGGAATCAAATCAGTGACCTTTCAGTTTGTGAAACAATGCCCAACCCACTAAGCCACACCAGTCTGGGCCTAACCCCACTTTTAGAAGTAAAGATACAGGCAGAGAACTGTGAACTTACGGTCTAAGTATATTTTCATTGCTAGTTCTATTGTAAATCTGTGGGGCTATCATTTCCTCATTTTGGGGATTTTGTTTTCTTGTCTCTAAAATGAGGTTTGAGTTTAGGTTGTTCGATTCAGCACCAGAATTCTAGTGTCTGTTACATTTTACATTGTACATCCCTATCTTAAACATTCTTGCTCATTACTACCTCTGTGCTTTTGCACTCATTCTTCTTGCCTACAATACCCTATATCTCTTTTAAATTTTACCTGCACTTTGAGAATGGATGTAAGCACATTAAAACCCAGTGATAGTGTGGGTTTCACAAAATTTAGTAGTGATTGACCACTCTCCTCAGTCCAGACACCATGTTTCACATCACTGATTTTATAATATCACAACCCCATATTTTATGTAGTTGCATTGTTTAGACATCACTTACAGCATTACAACAGAGTTTTATATCATTACTTTTTGAGACACTTTTCTACCACTTTTACCAGTTGTTTTTTGCTGATTTATACATTTAAGATTCTAAGTTTAAAAGAGGAGTAAAAGTGAAGCTAAGATGTTGATTTTTTATGTGATATTTTGGAATAAGTTTTATTGGTTTGTGGTCACTGAGAATATCCCATTTCCCTAGAAAGACTGATTTTTGATACCAGGGTATATCTTATGTAGTTTTATTTTGGTGTTAAATATTTGATAAATCTGCCTAGGAAGTAGTTAAATTTTTTTTCAAAATTTAGACCTCACCAAGTAGAAGGGAAAAACTCAAGTTTTTAACTATTACTGACTTATAAAAGCTAAAAATCTTACCTGCTCCTTTGGCATAGATATATATTATCATGTAAAATCTTGATTAATTAGAAAATGCATTTGTAGTCTTTGACTTTGTGGTTAATCAAGGGTTAAAATCTTTAGTATAGACATAAATTTCCACATACTCATTCCATAGGTCTTTTTCCCTCATGTCGTTGTGCTATTTTGATCTTTTCTAAATAACTTTCCCTTAGAGTTGACTGAACAGCAGAAAGAATTTCAGGCTACTGCTCGTAAATTTGCCAAGGAGGAAATAATCCCAGTTGCTGCAGAATATGATAAAACTGGCGAGGTGAGTATATACATTAAAAAAATTTTCTTTCTCAGTTACACTTGACCTATTATATTAGTTTAAGGTGTATACCTGGTGATGAGACATTATATAACTTAAATGATCATTCCAATTATTCTTGTACTCATCTGACACGATATATAGTTATTAGAACATTATTAACTATATTTCCTATACTGTATTTTATGTCCCCCTGACTATTTCGTAACTGCCAGTTTGTGATTCTTAATCCTTGTACCTTTTTCACTCATCCCATCGACCCCCCTCCCATCTGGCAGCCATCAGAATGTTCTCTGTATCTAGGAGTCTGCTTCTGTCGTGCTTGTTCATTTATTTTCTAAATTCAGTTGTTGACAGCTATGTATTTATTGCCACTTTATTGTTCATATTTTTATTATCTTTTTTTTCTTCTCAAAGAAGCTGTAACATGTAGTAGTTTGGTGGTGAACTCCCTTAGCTTCTTCTTGTCTAGGGAGCTCTTTAAGTATAATGTGATTCTAAATAACAGCTTTGCTCAGTAAAGTAATATTGGTTGTAGGTCCTTGCTTTTTATCATTTTGAGTATTTCTTGCCAATCCCTTCTGGCCTGAAAAGTTTTCTGTTGAGAAATTAGCTCACAGTCTTTTTTTTTTTCAATGTTCCCCTGAGAGCACTTTTTTTCATTGCTTTTAGAGATAGATGAAGGGGGACAGAGAGAGAGTGAAACATTGGTGTGAGAGGAAACATAACTGGTTGCCTCCCATCTGAACCCTGACCAGGGATCAAACCTGCAACCTAGGTACGTGCCCTGACCAGGAGTGGAACCCATAACCTTTGGTGTACTGGGCAATGCTCCAACCAACTGAGCCATACCAGCCAGGACTCAGCTCACAGTCTTACGGGAACTCCCTCACAGATAATTAGTTTCTTTTCTCTTGCTGCTTTTTAGGGTTCTCACTTTGTCTTAACCTCTTGCATTTTAATGATGATGTGTCTTGGTGTGGGCCTCTTTGGGTTCCTATTTTTGAGTCCTAGACTTGTATTTCTATTTCTTTCACCAGTTTAGGGAAGTCTTATGTTATATAGATTTTCAATCTCATGCTTGCTCTCTTCTCCCTCTGGCACCCTCATTATGAGAATGTTGGTATGTTTGAAGTTGTCCCAGAGTTTCTGTCTACTCTCCTCATTTTTTTATACGTTTTCTTTTTGCTTTTCTTACTGAGTGTTTCTTCTTTTTATTCCAAATTGCCGTTTTGAGTCTTTGCTTCATCCACTCTACTGTTGATTCCCTATAATTATTCTTCATTTCTGTTAGAGTATCCTTCATTTCTGACTGCTCTTTTTTATGGTTTCCATGTCTTATTTTTATGCTGTTGAAATTCTCTATCAGTTCATCTACTTTTCCCTTAAGTTCATTGGGCATCCTTATAACCAGTGTTTTCAACTCTGCATCTAGTAGATTGCTTGTGTCCATTTGTTTAGCTCTTTTCTGGACTTCTTTTAGTTCATTTGGGGCCATGTTCCTTTGTCTCCTCGTGTTGGCAGTCTCCCTGTGTTTGTTTGTTTCTATGTGTTAGGTAGAACTGCTGCGTCTCCTGGGTTTGGTAGGGTGACCTTATATACTAGATGTCCTATAGGATCCAGTGGCACCACCTTCCCATCCACCTAAGATATGCACTCCAGGTGCCCACCTCCCACCCCATGTGGGCTTTATACACCCTCCTCTTATAGTTGAGATTTGATTGCTGTTGGCACATCGATGGGAGGGAAATTTACCCCTTGGTCAATTGGCTACAAGACTGACTGTGACCACTGTGGAGGATCAGCTGTGCAGCTGCCCATTCCACTGAGCAAGACTTACTGCAGTGAGCCCCTTGAGTGTGTCACTTGTGGAGGTGGTTGAGTGGTGCTTTGATGTGGTCTGAAACTGTACATGTGGTGCACAGGTTCTGAGGCCTCTGGGAGATACAAGCCAAGGTCAGCCATCACCTATGTTCTGCCTGGGGCCACCTGGCATGGCCTACAAAGTAATATGCAAATGGCTGCTATGTGCTGGGCTTGGAGGTGCGCACAAGCAGCCAGGCTGAGAACCAAGGCGGGCTACTGCTAGTGCCAGGCAGGGCTGGTGCACTTAGTGAGAGGTATGGGGCATGGTGAGGCCAGATGTTGCTTGCCTGAGAGATCATAGGAAAGTTTGGACCATGAGTCAAGACCAGCCACTGGTATGGAAAAGCCACTGGAAACAGCGTAGGTGGGCCTGCAAGTTGGTGGGCAGGGTACCAGGGTATGACCGGGGTGAGGCACACAGTTTGTGGAGACTCAGATACAGAACCCTCCTGCCTGCTCTGTGGGTAAAGAGCTCAAAAAAGGAGCAGTGGCCTCTGCCAGCAGTTCTATCTGGAGGAATGTTGCCCTTCCAGCTCTCTCCTTAATGCCATCCAGTTCAGTTTCTCCACATATGTCCCTCGTGCCTTTCCAGCTGCTTCTGGTGCTGGAGCTCAGAGTGAATGAGCCCAAGTAGGTCCATGTGCAGATCCTTTAAGAGGAACTGCCTAGGGCTCCAGAAGCCCTCTACCTCCCTCAGCTACAAACCCTGCTGGATTTTACAGCCAGAAGTTATGGGGACTTATCTTCCAGGCACTGGAACCCTGGGCTGGGAGGCCTGGTATGGGGCTGGGACCCCTCGCTCCTCGGGGGGCACCTCCAAGGCCTTGATATCCCTTCTGATTTTTATCTGCCACGTTTGGGCGTGGGTGTGGGAGCAGCCCTTTCCCCATCTCCACCCCTTCTACCAGTCTGAGTGCAGTTTCTTTGAATCTCTACTTGTAGGACTTCATTCAGCAAGATTTCAGGTGGTTCTGAATGGTGGTTGTTATGTAATTTAGTTTTAATTTTGATGTAATTTTGAAAGGTTGCAAGTTCTGAATTTACCTATACCTTTATCTTGACAGGAAGCCTCTGCATTTTTAGGAGAGGAAGATCTTTTACATTTTTCCAAGACTACATAATCAAATATCTAGATTTTTAAATGTAACTGGCTATCTTCTTTAATCTTTTTTCCTTTTAGTACCCTGTCCCCCTAATTAAAAGAGCCTGGGAACTTGGTTTAATGAATACACATATTCCAGAAAATTGTGGTAAGCTCTCTTCACATTTTTAACCCTGGAATGTACAGGAACAAGAAAAAATTGTGAAACTCTACTCATTCTTTTGAATATTTATCGCCATTAAATATTGGCTTTCTACCTTTGTCTTCCTGTGCAGAGTTCAGTATTTGCTTTGCCTGTTTCTAGAAGCCTCATATTTGATACTTAGAGGCATTTTTGTTCTTTATAATGAGTTCCAACTTCAACTTGATTCTGAACCTTGGTAACTTTGTCCATAGAGCTGGTCAATTTGTTGCATTTTAATTCTGCCTTCGAGTTATTATAATTTTTTTCCCCTGCGAAGTCATATGTGATGTTTTCAATCCTTTCCCCAGGAAGGTCAAAGTTTTAGTAGAGTCGAATTAAGTTTTTAAAAAATCATGTTAAAACAGGAAAACAAGTCCAGATTACAAATTGCAAGAGAATATTTTTGGAATTTTTATAACTTACTATAAAGAAATATAATTTGTTACTGTGCTGGCCATAGCACATTTTTGGTTTCTTGGGTCGTAGATACTATATTTGCAAATTTACTTCTTGGTCTTTTTCATTAAGATCAAGTATAGTACTTATTAGTTTAACATCTGATGAAGACCTCTATCTGAGGACAACCCATTCAATGGGTTTTTGGAGCAGGAAGAGAAATGGAGTTTACCTGTTCACACTGTGCCTAGATCCACTACTAAAGTACTTCTGGGAACAGTGCACCCCCTCGGGGACAAGAAACAGAATAAAATAAATAAAAATAAAACCAATCAGATTAACTAATTACTTCCAGTTGGGTCATATTAGAAGTAATTAAAATAATTTACCTTTATTTCAGTTCAGATGTACTATTTATTATCATGGGTTTTTACTACATTTTGATACTATAGGAGGCCTTGGACTTGGATCTTTTGATAACTGTTTAATTGCAGAAGAATTGGCATATGGATGTACAGGAATTCAGACTGCTCTTGAAGCAAATTCTTTAGGGGTAAGTCACTTGCAAAATTAATTGCCTAACTGAGCTATTGTTAATGAGACAGTACTACTAAGTTAGTACTGTCTCATTACTAGAAAACAGTTATCTTTTAAAAGAAACACAAGATTCTGCAGTGAAGCTTGTATTTCTTTTCCAAAAGTTGATCATGCTGGCCTTGTCTACCCTGCTTGGAGTCCTAGCTATCCTTGTGGGGAAACTGTACACTTTGGCCACTGCTTCAGGCCAAAATCCACATTCAGGGAAAGGATCATGATGGCAATGCTAAAATTTAGTAAGCAGTTCTCAGGAAGCCTGGTCATATATGTTACATTATTTATCCTAAATTTCATTCATTATGTAATACAGTATTATACCAAGTTCTATATAACTTAATTTTATGAAAATGCTTGTATTAACAGATTTATTTTCTTATTTTAACTCTCCAACTTAGAGGCAGAATAAAGCCCAGTTCTTTAGACTTACTCATTGGGGGAAAATAGTTTTCTATTTTTAAATTGTAGTATCCCTGAATTTATGTACATAATAAAAATATCTTTTTTCATGTCACTTTTCTTTGATAGCAAATGCCTGTTATTATTGCTGGAAATGCTCAACAACAAAAGAAGTATTTGGGGAGAATGACTGAAGAGCCATTAATGTGTGTGAGTATATATGTGCAGCTGAAGTTACCAAAGTATTTAGGTACAGTGGTAATTCATGGATGCCAGGAACGTGTCGTAATAATGATTCTTGGTTATTTCCAAATGAAAATTATCTACTTGTGATATATCATGGGTGCCAGAAAATTGTCATAATAATCCCCAGCTAATTCCAGGAGAAAGACAACTATCTAGTGGTTTACTCTGCAGTTTAAGAACTGAGCGGCTGTGTCAGAAATTTAGATTGAATGTATGACAGTAAGTGTTTGAACTAGTAGTCTTTTGAACTAATAAGAAGTTAAAATGAATAAAAACATATCAATTTATTTGTTAAATGAGTAACTTGAGTCTACAGCCATACTACCCTGAATGCATCCAATCTCATCTGAATGAGTAACTTGGGGAGAATATTTATAGATGAATTCCCTGAGAGCTACTCAACAAATGTTTAAAACAGGATATTTTTATTTTTTATTTTTTGGGGGGAGAGGTGTGTAAAAGGTCTTTATTCTTTTAGATCCAGGAAAAAATTCACACTCTGCACAGCCTGTAAATTTCAGCAAGAGAGACCTGTTCTCCAGGCAGATGTTTCCCCAATGGGAAATTACTTCTCCATCCAGTCCCCTACACATACATACACATATATACTGAGATTCTATTTTGCAAGCATTTTTACTTAAGGATTTTTTCTTCTTTTTTTATTAGTCAAATTTTAATCTAGCATGTAATCGTGATACTGAAATAATAATATATCGTTGCTAAAATTTAGCTAATTGTGAGAGTTGGTCTGAAAGACTAGAAAGTAATATTTGAAAATAAATGTTTATTTATTCAGGTACCTCAGTTTTGGGCAAACTGCCTGATAGAGACATTTATGCTTATTTCCTAGTTGGTAATTTTTTTCAGTACATGAGAGTTTATTAAAAGGCTTATTCCCAGTATTACCTCAGAATTGTGTGAAATATCTAGAGTCTTATCCTATAACATATAATATTAGAAGTTGGCTAAAAATTATAGAATGTAGATGCCTAGGGGAATCTGCCTTAGTGCACTGATAAGAATATTTGTGCCTTGGCTGGTGTGGCTCGGTGAATCGCGTGCTGGCCTGAGAACCAAAGGGTTGCCAGTTCAATTCCCAGTCAGGGCACATGCCTGGGTTGCAGGCCAGGTCCCCACTAGGGGGCACATGAGAGGCAACCACACACTGATGTTTCCCTCTGTTTCTCCCTCCCTCCCCCTCTCTCTAAATAAAATCTAGAATATTTGTAATTATCTTATTAGTTATAAATAGATATTTCTAGATTAGAGTCTTTAAAAGCAATTCAAGTATTTCAGATATTTTTAGCAGTTTTGTTAGATATCAATACCTTCAGTATATGTAAAAATATATTCATTATAATCCCTAAGCTATTCTAACTTCTTTTGTAGTAAAGATTTAATATACATTTTCCACCTTCTTGTGCAAAATAGTAATAGATCTGCTCAAAATATGAAGCCAAGGGTAAAAATGAAAATAGTCTATAGGTATATTAATTATGAGTTTCGATTACTTCCAGTGAGATTATTTATTAACTCCCAATAAATATTTATAAAATTATGTTACACACAGTATTTTATTGAAAATTTCAAAAACCTTTTTAAACTCTTATGATTGTAAAAACAATATAGAAAATTTTGAAAAGTATGAGGAACAGAAACATCTATAATCCCTCACATATGAACTTAACTAGTATTACTGTCTTATCGTACTGTCTATCAGAATTTTAAATACATATAAATATGTTTTAACAATTAGGATCATATTATATGTGCTATTAAAGACTGATATTTATTACTGTATAATATGCCTATTGATATACTATAATTATTTCACTATTCCCTATTGTTGAGTATTTAAATTCTTTAGATTTTTGCTTTTAAAAATAATATTACTTTAATAATTGATAGAACTTTTTGGTTTTAACTTTACAGTACAGATATATTATTATTATGTATTCATAAGACTTAATCTCTTACCTGATCATGTATGGTCAGATATACAGAAAAACATAAGGGTGACACCATAATTATTTTTAATATCATTTAGTGCAAAATAAATTTTCTAAAGTCTTAACAAATTGTGTTATTACATATGTATTATATACATAAAACAGTAAAAACTATATATCTTTTTAAAAGATTGGGTTAAATCTTTTAAACAGGATATACCTAAAATATGTGCAGTATTGAGCAATCATGGACAAGTATTACCCCATGAGGACAAGGTCGTTATGGGCAAGACATTCAGTAAAGTCAGTTTTGTTCAAACATGGTCTTAGAACCTAGAAGTCTCAGTAAAGAGCCTAATAATGGTGAAGAAAACTCTTGTTATAAAACCATACATTTTTAATGGCACTAGGAAGTAGCTGGCATGTAACTGAAATAACACCGAACTTGGGGCTCCAAGACCTGGCTTTAGGCCTTTGCTCAGCCATATAATAGTAATATGATCTTACACAGCCACTTCAGCTTAAAGTCTCTTGAAAATAGGGAGTATATCTCTAAAAGGAATAGTAAAGATAGAACACAATGCTTATGTTTTCATAAGAATATCTTCACAGAGTGCCCCTTTTGCAAAAATTTTTAGAGCAATTATTTTGTACCTGATGGCTAGAGGAAACTTAGTTTTTCTTTAACTGATATTCATTCATTCATTCATTTATGCAATACCTGAGTTGCCTACTTGCTGTATGCGAGACATTAGCTTATGGGCATTGCCGTTTTTTTAACATTATATTTTATGATTCTGCTATTACAGTTGTCCCAATTTCTCCCCCTTTGCCCTTCCCCCATCAACTCCCAACCCCTCAGGTAATCATGGGTCATGTTTATAAGTTTTTTAGCTACTCCCTTTCCTATACTGTACTTTACATTTCAATGGCTATTCTGTAACTACCTATTTGTACTTATTAATCTACTTACCTCTTAACTCATTCCCTCACACCCCAATCCCATCTGGCAACCATCAAAAATGCTCTCTGTATCTATGATTCTGACTCTGTGCTTGTTTGCTAAGCTTGTTTTTTAAACTCAGTTGTTGATAGGTATGTATTTATTGCCATTTTATTGTTCATAGTGTTGATCTTTTTCTTAAATGAGTCCCTTTAACATTTCCTATATAATGGCTTGGTGATGATGAACTCCTTTAGCTTTTACTAGTCTGGGAAGCTCTTTCTTGTCTGGGAAGCTCTTTATCTGCCTTTTAATTCTAAATAATAGCTTTGCTGGGTAGAGCAATCTTGGCTGTAGGTCCCTGCTTTTTGTGACTTTGAATTTTTCTTGCCAATTCTTTCTAGCCTGCAAAGTTTCTTTGAGAAATCAGCTGACAGACTTATGGGAGCTCCCCTGTAGGTAACTAACTTCTTTTCTCTCACTACATTTAAGATTCTCTCTTTATCTTTAACCTTTGCCATTTTAATGCTGATGTATCTTGGAGTGGGCCTCTTTGCATCCATCTTGTTTGGGAGACTCCGTGCTTCCTGGACTTGCATGTCCATTTCCTTCACCAAATTAGGAAAGTTTTCGTTCATTATTTTTTCAAATACATTTGCCTTTCTTGCTCTTTCTCTTCTCTTTCTGGCAGCCCTATGATATGAATGTTGGAATGCTTGAAGTTGTCCCAGAGGCTGCTTACTCTATTCTTGGTTTTTTGGGGGGATTCTTTTTTCTTGTTGTTGTTGTGAATGATTTTTGCTTCCTTATGTTCCAAATCATTGATTTGATTCTTGGCTTCATCCACTCTACTGTTGTTTACCTGTAAATTGTTCTTCATTTCAATTAGTGTATCCTTCATTTCTGGCTGGATCTGTGTTATGCTGTTGAGGTCCTCACTCAGTTTCTTGAGCCTCCTTATAACCAGTGTTTTGAGTTCTGCATCTGATAGATTGCTTAGCTCCCTTTTGTTTATTTCTTTTCCTGGAGTTCTGATCTGTTCTTTCATTTGGGCCATGTTTTTTTGTCTCCTCGTTTTGGCAGCCTCCCTGTGTTTATTCCTGTGTATTAGATAGAGCTGCTGTGACTATCTTGGTAGTGTTGTCTAATGTGTTAGGTGTTCTGTAGGGTCCAGTGGCACAGCCTCCCCTATCAACCAAGCTGGGTACTTGAGGTGTGCCCTTTGTGTGGGCTAAGTGTACCCTTGTGTAGTTGGGTCTTAAATGCTGTAGTCAGGTCAATGGAAGGGATTTACTCAGGCCAGTGCAATGCAAGGACTGGCTGTGACCACTGACAACCAACTCCACCCTCTGTTGGATGGAGGATCAGCTATGCAGGGGCAGGGTGATGGTGCTCTAGTGTTATCTGTGGCTGTCCAGTGGGTGCACAGGCTCCACGGTTTCCCAAGTGGTGTAGGCCAAGGTCAGCCCCAACCTGTGTTTTGCCCAGGGCCTCCCTGAATGAGTTATAAAGCAGTCTGAGATGGCCGCTACTTGTATGGGACTTGGAGAGTGCCAGGAGAAGCCAAGTTGTGAATCTATGCTGGCTGCTGCTAATGCTGTGCCTGGAATTACTTAGCAAGGGATATGGGGACTAGGGGCTCACTGAGTCCAGCTGTTGCTTGTTTGATTGGACTTGGGAAATTGTGAAGCATGAGCTAAGACCAGTCATTCATATGGAAAAATTACAGTTAGTAGTTTGGGTGAGGCTGTAAGTTGGGTGGGATGGAGTCTCAGGGGATCTCCAGGGCAGGGAAACAGTGTTAGGCAAGTTGATGGAGTCTCAGATATGACACCCACCTGCCAGCTCTGTGTCTCTGTGTGGGGAGAACTCAGAAAAGGGACAATGGCCTTTGCCCACCTTTCTGCCTGGGAGAAAACTATCTTCCAGCTCCTACCTTGGTGCCAGACACTTCAGTTCCTCTCTTAAAGCCACTGGTGTCTTTCAAGCTGCTACCCAGTACTGAAGCTCAGAGGAAGTGAGTCTGTGTAAGCCCATGTGTGGGTTTTTTAAGGAGAACAGCTTGAGACTCCAGAAGTTTCTTCCAACAACTCAATTCCTGCTGAGTTTTGCAGCCAGGAGTTTTGGGGACTTATCTTCCTGGCACTGAAACCCTCTGTGGAAGAGCCTGTTGTGTGGCTGAGACTCTTTGTTTCTGAGATATCCCTCTCAAATTCTTATCCACCATCCGTGGATGTGCGTGGGACTAACCTGTTCTGTGTCTCCACCCCCACACCAGTCTGGATGGATGTGGTTTCTTTGATTCCATTGTTGTTAGACTTCTATTCAACTTGCTTTCTGATGGTTCTGGGTGATGGTGATTCTATATTTTAGTTGTAATTTTGATGTGGTTGTGCAAGGAGGTGAGCTATGTGTACCCATGCTGCCATCTTGACCAGAAGTGGGAGCATTTCACACTTCTAAGGTATACTTACAACTAGTATTTTTTTGTTTTGGTAAGTGGGAAGAATAGAGCCAGTTTTATATCCCACCTTTAGTAATTATCTGAACCTAAAAGCAAGTGCTGTAATTTATTATTTTTCTTCTGGTTGTATCTTTATTTTCACTTTACCCTGTATTTTTAAATAGTTTATTTTTTTCTCATTTATCCCCCTTATATACTCTCCCACCTCCAACCACCCTATTCCTCATCCTGGTATAAAAAAAAAACGTGTATTATATAAACTACTTCAACTCCCTTTAGAGTGGAAAGTAAAAAATATTTTTAATAGAAATAAATGCAACATTGCTTTGTAAACAATACAAATTTAAGATTGGTAGCATTATCACTAATGAAGTTGTAATGCTATACTCATTCATTCAAATACTTGAATAGTGTGTAATGGGTAGACTGTGAATAAAATAATGACTAAAACTGAGTTCCTACCCACAAGAAGTTAATCTGGTAGACCCTTAGATCCTTACCCAGAATGTATTAGTTTTTGCATATAATTATGCAAAAACAGTAAATAAATGAATAAATAATTATGCTTAAAAGGATGTTACTATACTGCTTGATTTTTCTAGTTCTCATGGCAACATTTAGATTTTGTAAGTCAAACTAATCAGAATAGTGAGGATCACAAGTGCTAGGGACAGTTATTTTGTAAAACATATATTAATAGCCAATGGGGATACCAACCGGCTCAAGAAGCTCTGATATAGCTTGTAAATGACTATAATACTCTGTGTAATACCATATAGTGTGATAAAGAAGAGAACAAGTTACAGTGGGAACAAAAAAGGCTTCTGCTGAAAGTGCATTATAACATTAATTTTAATTACTAGGAATGAATCAAACAAGAACATCATCTCTGAAGAAATAGCCATGACAAGCCATTTTGTATAGAAACATATAGACAAGTACACTACATAAGCTCTAAAAACTTTGCATTATTATAAAGCTGAGAAATGTCTAATAGCATATTTCAGGAAAACTAAATTCGTAAAGGTGGGTAAAATAAAATTTTCGCACTTTAAAGCATTATCTTTTCTGGACAGTTCTTTTGTCTAATAACCACTTTTGTTGTTGTTACGATGCTGAAAACATCTTGGAATCTCTAGGTAGGAGAGTAATCAATCTACTTAACTTATATTGATACCTGAGTCGCCTCTGGAGTACTCAGTGAAAAGGCCATTTAGTTTATGTTTTAATGCCTGGCAATCACAGTGTCCTGAAACGGCTCCATTTGGGATCCACCCTAGCCATTAGAAAGCTCTTCTGCATACCATGCTCCTGAAGAAAAGGACTGTCCCATTTCTATTTATAATCTTACCCCCTTACACCATAATAGGTGTTCAATAAAATTTGAATGATTTCACTGTAGTTTTCTATCAATTCAGATTTTCTCCCTTGGCTATATAGTGTTTTGGGTATTTGAATATAGCTATCATGTGGATCTTATCTTTTCTAAGTTATTTATATAACTTTTTCATTGTTTCTTCACTCAACGCAATAACGTCCCATCACCTTACTAATCACTGACTCTAAAATATCTTAAGAGCTAAATACTGTACTTTTGCATGGTCTGTTGAATGCAGAGTAGGATAGTTCCACCACTCTTATTTTATATACTATCATAAATGTAGCTTATAGCATTAGCCCTGTTGGTTTACATAAAGCTTACTCTTCTCTTAAATTATCAAACCAGCCTCCCCTTCTGGTGTTAAGTTTTTGTATATTCATTAAGTAGTCTATTAGCTTTATAGTTTCAGCACTGACTTTCCTGAGCTTTACCCTCCTCTATGCACTAGTCTCTTCAACATTTCTTCTTGGCTAGACTTAACTATCTTAAACCAAATGTGTCTCAAACCAAATTATTTTCTTCCCATTCTTTAGAACCGCTTCTCTTCTAGATTATCTCTGATTGGAAGTTGCTTAAACTGAAAAATGGAAAGTCATCATAACGTCTTCTTTAGCTCCCCAATGTCCTATTTAGTCCTGATATCTGCATTTCACACCACGGTTCTCAACTGCAGCTTCTGTTCTCTGGCTTGCTTCTTTCTTACCTGCACTATTGCAAAGCCTCTTAATGTGTGTCCTAAGTCATCTTGTGTAGGTACTTCTGCCACGTAGAGGTTCTGTGAACTTGGGCAAATTATTTAACCTCACTTTGCCAGTTTAGTTATTTGTAAATGCAGATACTTAGTACCTGTGTCGTGGGGGTTATTTTGAGGTTTAAATGAGTCAAGTACTTAGAACAGCCCCTGAGAGATAGTGAGTAATTATTGTTACTCCCCCTTAATTCGGTCATTTATAATTTTGTAATGATAAACTATCTAAAATATAAATGTGTCACTTTCTTGGATATACAAAAATATCACTGTTTTTAATTCATTAATAGCATTTGTACCTTTTACAGTTTCTGAACCCATTTTAGAATCTGACATATTCAGAAGAGTGCATATACTCTTCATTTTCCCACATTAGAGCGTTCTGTACTCCCCTGAAGCCCATGTACTTAATTCCTTAAGGTTCCATGTCACAATCACAAGTGTCCCATAAACTTTTTTGAATGCACAGACTATACTCTCCTTAGCATGGCATATACCTCAGTCTTCATGACCAAGTCCCTTTCTGCCTTTTTTCATGGCTTTCGGTTTCGTACTTTACTTTCCAGTGCTAAACTGCTAATAGTTCCCTCTGTTACAACTGCTATTTCATTCTTGTATGCCTTTGATCTTCTTGCCTTACTTATTTGTACTTCAAGATATAGCTCTTCCAGTGAGTTTTACTTAGTTTTCTTCTTTTCACCTTCCTAACCACTCGTGACCTCCCATCCCCCTGCAGGTCCACATAATCATTTTTAATGTCCCTGTGTACCGTATTACTTTAGAATTAAAATGAACTGTTAAGGTTTCTCTCTTCTTTGGATTCTAAGTACCTTAAGGGCAAGGCACTGTGTCTTTGGGCCTTGTATCCACAGGACGTGTCACTCAGTAAACGTCAATGAACTTCAGCTACCCAGTGCTTTTCTTCCTCTGCCCCCCTTTTCTATTCCAGCTTATCTTTTGTCACTTCTCTGTTTAAGAGCTTTAAGGGGCTCCCCTCTTTCTACCAGATAAAATGATAACTTCTGTATGTTATATAAATGGTTCTTTATCATCTATTTTCTTTCTCTCTTTGCAGACTTGTTTCCTACCATTCCCTTACATGCTAGAGTTTACATGGTATAGAACTCGGGTACTTTCGTGTTCCAAACATTGGGTAACCCTGCTTCTTATCTCGGTATCATTGCATATGTTGTTACTTCTTTCTGAAATACACATTTTTTTCTTTTCCCTATCCCCAAAGAATTCCTTTTCCTTTATGAAATTTTAAACATCATCTCTGGGAAGCTTTTTCTGACACCGAAAAGCTAAGCTAGTTTCTTAAGCCTATTGTATATGACTTTAACAGATAACATGATTACAACATAGCAGTCATCCCCACTGTTACAGTGTGAAAATCTTGAAGACAAGATGTCTTTCATCTCTGGCTTTTCCACCTAGGTTATAACCTGGTACATGCTATAAACTACTTATTAAGTGTTTGAATGAGTAAGTACACATGAAATTGAATTTAACTGGGTTGAAGAGATGTAACATTTTAATTTTTGGTATCATTTACTGGTATCCTATATCAAGCTTAAATTATATATTAAATAATTTTATATTTCAGTAGTTTATTTGATTCTCCAAGAACATGTTATTTTTAGGTACTTTAAAATAGTTAAAAAATAAACTACACTCCTTATTCTCTGTCCATAGTTTACTACTTAGCATTTAGTTTTCTTCTCTTGTTTCCATATATTCCAGGCCTACTGTGTAACAGAACCTGGAGCAGGCTCTGATGTAGCCAGTATAAAGACCAAAGCAGAAAAGAAAGGAGATGAGTATATTATTAATGGTCAGAAGATGTGGATAACCAATGGAGGAAAAGCTAATTGGTATGTTGTTGAAAACATCTCTGTATATTGTTTAGTAATTATTTTACATTCATAATATCCCCTCTGTCCTTTCCTTTATTATGAAACCACCAGAATTAAAATAAATTTTATTCATAGAACTTATGGAAGGTCCATAGAAGATTATAAGTAGTTCAGTAATTTTCAAAAACTATTTTTAAGCCTTGAACTATGTCTTCAAGCTAACTCTTAGAAGTTAAATTGGTAAATAAAACAGAAGTACCTGCTCTGGTTGTATCTGATTAGGAAAGCTGGAACTCTATCCATCTGCCTCACCATCTCCTCTTTCTATACCCTACACCAGCACCTTCTGGGAACCGTTCTCCTGAGACTAAGGAAGAAAGGAAACCATTGGCAGCAAATTCCTCTGATTCCAAGCAGTGAGGAATGGCAATTTTAAAACTCAGCTTATTTTAGAGAAGACATAATTTTACTTTTATGAAATCTAAAAGGTTCGAATGTATAGGTCCAAAAATACTGACATGAAGTTCAACAAAGGATCAAAAACCACTTGTAAAATGTTGAAGGAAAACATATTTGATAGTATTATTTGTGGGGGGAAAAGGTGAAAGTTTATTTAATAAGTTTTTATAAGTTTAGTGGGAATCAACCGTGTGATGTATCTGCCTTTAAAAAGCTAATGTAATTTCTTGCTAAAATACAGTAATAGAAGGATAGCATCAGGAAGAAGGAGGAAATGGTAACAGTTCTGGGCAACATACTTTAAGATATGCACTGGCAAAATGGAATGAATTCAGAATCAAGAAAGAGTCCTGCTTAGGAGGAGCCTATAAACGTGGCCTATGGCCCTGGCTGGTGTAGCTCAGTGGATTGAGTGTGGGCCTGCAAACCAAAGGGTCGTGGTTTGATTCCCAGTCAGGGCACATGCCTGGGTTGCAGGCCAGTTCCCAGCAGGGGATGCACAAGAGGCAACAATACATTGATATTTCTCTCCCTCTCTCCTTCCCTTCCTCTCTAAAGATAAATAAATAAAAATCTTAAGGAAAAAACATGTCTTATGAAGAGTAAAAAAATTAGGTTTGGTTAGTTTGGAAGAATTTTGAAAATTTTTAAATAATGTCACACAGAAGAAAAGCAGTCTTGCACATGTGTTCAGTAAACCAATTTAACATTAATGGGTGAAAGTTAGAAAAACACAGAATTCAGCTCAACATATGGACAAGCTTTCCAACAACAGTGCTGTCCAGTGTCTTTACTCATCTGAAAAAATATGAGTCAGTATATCTGTGTGCTCTGAAGTGCAGTTTTCTGTCAAGTAAAGCATTATTTCTGGACATGAGCTTACCAGAGTGTCATTTGTTTTGCTTTAAACATGTCTATCAATCCCTTGGAGGTGTCTAATAATTATGGATATCATTATCTTTAACTATGTGATTATAATATCAGCAAATAATTAAATTATCGAAATGTAACAAATTGAGAGAAATCTAACCATGCAATTAGAAGTGTTCATAATTTTTAAGTAGTCATTAAGTACAACTCTTCATGTAGTAAGACAAATTAGGTAATATATGAAACTAAAATCAGTATTTACTATACTTGGTCTTAGCCAAAAGGCCAAGAAGTGACAAAATCAACTTTTACTATGTATTACTATTATCAAGTAAATCTATAGGGTGAATGGTGGTTTATTAGTTTTATTTATTTTTTAAATATACTTTATTGATTATGCTATTACAGTTGTCTCAATCCCCCACCCTTTATTCCCTTCCGTCCTGTATTCCCCCTCCTGCTCGCATTCCCCCTCTTTAGTTCATGTCCATGGGTCGTACATATAAGTTCTTTGGCTTCTCCATTTCTATACTATTCTTAACCTCCCCCTGTCTATTTTCTGCCTACCATTTATGCTACTTATTCTTCGTACCTTTTCTCCCTCTCTCCCCTTCCCACACTCTGCTGATAATCCTCCATGTGAACTCCATTTTTGTGATTCTGTTCCTTTTCTAGTTGTTTGCTTAGTTTGTTTGTGTTTTCTTGTTTTTAGGTTTGGTTCTTGATAGTTGTGAGTTTGTTCTCATTTTACTATTCATATTCTTTGACCTTCTTTTTTCTTAGATAAGTCCCTTTAACATTTCATGTAATAAGGGCTGGGTGAAGATGAACTCCTTGAACTTGACCTTATCTGAGAAGCACTTTATCTGCCTTTCTATTCTAAATGAAAGCTTTGCTGAATAGATCAATCTTGGATGTAGGTCCTTGCCTTTCATGACTTGGAATACTTCTTTCCAGCCCCTTCTTGCCTGCAAGGTTTCTTTTGAGAAATCTGCTGACAGTCTGATGGGAACTCCTTTGTAGGTGACTGTCCCCTTATCTCTTGCTGCTTCTAGGATTCTCTCCTTCATTTTAATCTTGGCTAATGTAATGATGATGTGCCTTAATGTGTTCCTCCTTGGATCCAATTTCTTTGGGACTCTCTGAGCTTCCTGGTCTTCTTGAAAGTCTATTTCCTTTGCCAGATTGGAAAAGTTCTCTTTCATTATGTGTTAAAGTAAGTTTTCAGTTTCTTGGTTTTCCTCTTCTTCTGGCACCCCTATGATTCAGATGTTGGAATGTTTAAAGATATCTTGGAGTTTCCTAAGTCTCTCTGTATTGTTTTGAATTCTTGTTTCTTCATTCTGTTCTGGTTGAATGTCTCTTTCTTTCTTCTGCTCCACACTGTTGATTTGAGTCCCTGTTGCCTTCTTGTCACTGTTGATTCCCTATACATTTTCCTTTATTTCACTTTTCATAACCTTCACTTCTTCCTCTATTTTGTGACCATCTTCAACCATTTCTGTGATAAGCATCCTGATTACTAGTGTTTGAACTGTGCATCTGATAGGTTAACTATATCTTCATCACTTAGTTGTATTTTTTCTGGAGCTTTGATCTGTTCTTTCATTGGGCCTTTTTTTTTTTTTTTTTTTTTGTCTCAGTGCACCTGTTATGTAGTAAGGGGCGGAGCCTTAGGTATTTACCAGGGCAGGGCAACCCAAGTCACTTCATCGTCACACTGTAAGTGGGGGAGGGGTCTTACAGGAAACAGTGCCACTTGCTCAGCTCTTAGTCAGCTTTCAGTCACTTCCTTCACTACCCAAAAGCAAATTGGGCTCTTCTGGTGCTGATTACTGAGTGGGTGTTTTTGTGTACATTCTAGGACACTGTGGGTCTCTCCAAGAAACTGTCCTGTGAGGCTGGAAGTTTCTCTCATGCTGCCTCAACCCCCACAGGTTTTTACAGCCAGAGGTTTTGAGACTTTATTTACCCACACTGGAACCCTGGGTTGCTTGGTATCTCGCTCCCCAGTTGTTCTTCCAGGGTTATCTGCACATGAATGTGGGACCACCCAGTCTGCAAGGGGCCGCCTCACCCAGTCTGCTAGCCACCACCTTGCCCACTGAGGTCCTCCATCTGCTGCCTTTCTGTGAGTCCTCTCCATCTGGCCGTTTGTCTCCAGGACTCCTGTTGGTCTGGATGAATGTTTCTTCTTTAACTCCTTGTTTGTTGGACTTCCATACGGTTCAATTTTCTGGCAGTTCTGGTTGTTTTTTGTTTTTAAATTTGTTGTAATCTCTCTTTTGGTTGTACGAGGAGACACAGTGTGTTTACCTATGCCTACATCTTGGCCAGAAATCAGTTTATTAGTTTTAAACAGAGAAAATAAATGTGTTGTTTAAGGAATTTTTAGAAAATTCCTCCTATGAGGATATTTAGAACATGTTCTAAATATTTGGATATTTTGTCTTTTCCTCATATTTCATTTTAACATCTTTCTGTGATAAATTCTTTTAGAGTGAAAACTCAGCAAATGTTCATAATAATTTAGCTTTATCAACAGCACTAATGGCTGCATAAAGAGGACAGTAGTCAGAACATAAGGGTCTCTAACTCATATTATTTCTTTTCACAGGCAATCCTACCTGCTGTCCTTTTCTATATTGCTTGTCCCTTAAAGAAATAACTTAGTTTGGGGAAAGAAAAGTGCCAGTTTCAACATACACAAACTTTTCTTTTTGTATTACATTACCTTGATATAAGGAATTTTTACTTGCAACTTGTATACTAAAAGAAGTTAAACAGCATGTAATTAAGAAGTAGACTTTCCCTGGCCCCGTGGTTCAGTTGGTTGGAGCACTGCTCTGTACACTGAAAGGGTGCAGGTTCAAGTCCTAGTCAGGGCACATACCAGGGTTGCAGGTTGGATCCCTGGTCAAGGAGTGTACAGAAGGCAGCTGATTGATGTTTCTCCCTCTCTAAAGTCAATCAGCATATCCTCAGGTGAAGATTTAAAAATAAAAAAAAGATGTAGACCTGACCTGAACTACTAGCTTTGCCACGTCATAAGTATGTAACTTGGCTTTTGCAAGTTTTTAAACCTCTCTGATTCTTCATTGCCTCATCTGAAAAAAGGGGGCAATAATACTGGAATCCTTGGAAAGATGAACTGAGAATAACAATCACCATATATTGTCTGCTGATACCATTATCTTTATTGTGTTATATTAGGTATTTTTTATTGGCTCGTTCTGCGCCGGATCCTAAGACTCCTGCCAGTAAAGCCTTTACTGGATTTATTGTGGAAGCAGACACCCCAGGAATACAGATTGGAAGAAAGGTAAAGTATATATTTATCAGTAATGTTTCAGATAGGATAAGTGGCATTTATGCCTATTTTATGGATTAAAACAATGTGACATAAATTGATTACCCACACTAGACAACACTAAGATAAAAATCTGTGAAAAGTATGGAAATGGTAAAGAACCTTGAATGTGAGAAGGCAATAAAATTTGTATTTAAGTAAGAAAAGGTATTTTAACATAGCTGAAAGGTGTTGTAATCTGAATGTGCAGAGATAATTTATCATTAGCATTTCAAGGACACTAAAAAGAAAAGTTTACATTTAACAAATCAAAGAAGGAAAGAAATGAAGTCATTAAAGTAAACCTAGTAAGAGCTAAGGAAGCATGATTTGAGAGTATAACTCAGAACAGAAAGAGGAGACTGTTTTGCAACAGTAAGAACTCTGCAAAATGAATGTATGGAAGAGAAAACTATAAATGACCCAATGATGTTGAATTAGTAAAGGTTACATAAATATATCATTTTCCTCCTAAATGGGGAAAGGTGCAGATTATCTGTTCAAATATTAGACTAAGGGTAGCATGACCAGAACTGGAAAGGCTAATGTTTGAATTGACCAAGTTACATAAACTTCTAAACCAGTAATGTCTATTTGTGCAATCCTGTTTTAAAAGCCATCAGAATCTCTCTTCTGTGCCCATGCCTCTTTAAGATAGAAGCATTTTGCTAAATTTCATGAGAGGAATAATTTCTTTGATAGGATATAGAGTATTAAAGGTAGAAGATAATTTCTACATTATTTCAGTCCATGTACTGAATATTACAACTGAGATCCAAATCTAATGATTTACTCAGAATTACATATTGGGAGGCAGAGTTGAGATCAATACTAAGGTGTCCTAGGAACTTACCCAGTGCAGTTTCTGACACTATGTTCTATATTTTGTCTTAATAGTAGATATAACGGTAGACTGTACTTTACAAATAAAAGTTACAATGAGATTGTTACGTATAACAAATTATAAGTACTAAGAATGGTTGTGCTTATTCTAAGCAATCGGTTTGTTTTATTTATATTTTATCCATGTTTCCTTTTTAGGGATGGCTGCTAGAAAATTTAGGGCCAAAGTTACACCCATCTTTAGAAAGTATAAAAGACCTAACAGTTTATACTTTTTTAAGTAGTAAACCCACTTCCAATTTTATTTTGCTATATCTAATCTCATTTTCTTTTTGTTCTCAATTTTCTCATTTTAAATAATCTCTAATTCAGTAAATATTTGTTATTGAGTTAATACTATATGGTAGGTACTATTCTAGGTATTGGGGAAATTGTATGGATCAGAACAGACATAAATCCCTGTGCCTGGGAAGCTTCATGAGAGAGACATAATTTCTCTCATTAGAGAGAAATTGCATAATTACATTGTATGCAATTAAACCTCCTTATATCTTTTTTTTTTGAAGCATCTGGCATTTTATAAATTTGTGAAATTTGATGAGTTTCAAAATGGTTTGTGTTTTAGAAATTATATGGCTTGAAATGAGTCCAGGAAGCTTTTTGGTTTTAAGTGTTCTGGTGTTTGAGGTGATTCTGCAAAATAGGATAAACAGTGTTTTCTTAAACAATTTTCTCAGATATATCTGAGTGAAGGTCTAAAGTACTAGAGTTTATCAACTCTTAAAGACAAAATAAAGAGATATTGATTTATTTTTCTATCAAATATATATTATTGTCACCATTTCTTCAAGACTGGAAGCAGACTATTAATATTGAAACAATCAAATTAAAGAATTTGTTTATAGCTCTGTGTTCCCCTAGCCCATACTTTTCATGCTGCTTATTAAAAACAAGGTTAATTTTTTTTTCTCTAAGAAGGGTCATGATGTCTGCAACTTATTCTCAAATAATTCAAATAATGCTAATAGTTATGCATACACACACCCCCAACACAGAAATAAAGCAAATGTGGCAAAATGTTAACAATTGGTGAGTCTAGATAAAAGGTATATACTACTACAACTCTTCTGTTGGCTTGTGTATTTTCCAGACAGAAAGTTGAGGGAATGTAGCTACTTCAGCAATTTCTTGTGAAGTTAAATGTGCACTTACCACATACCCAGCATTCCTAGGTATTCATCCAAGAGAAATGAAAACAAAGACCCATACATGAATGCTTATAGCAGCTTAACTTATAATTGATAAAAACTGGGGGTAGGGAGTGTTCATCAACTAATGAATGGATAATGGATATATGGTACATTCAATATAGTGGAATATTACTCAGCAGTAAAAGGAAAGGTTTACTGACTAGCAGCAACGTGAATGAATCTCAAAAGCACTATGAAAAGTGGAAAGTCAGACACAGAATGCTGACCTTATTATTCTACTTGTGTGACATTCTGGGAAAGGAAAACCTATATGGACAGAAATCAGATCACTGGTTGCTTGAAGCTGGGAACACAGTAAACAAAATGACTGAAAGGGGGTACAAGAGAACTTTTGGGAGTACTGAAGTACTCTTTGTCTTGACTGTGATGGTGATTACACACAAAAAGAACTATTGGAAATGTATGTGCAGATGGGTGAATTTTTCTATGTGGTAAGTTCTACCTCAATCTAATTTTTAGAAACAGTTGAAAGAAAACATAAATTCAACTTTTAACTAGTATATTACTTAGCTAGCTCTATTAGTTAAGCTAAAATTAAATGTCCTAAGTTAGTTTGCTAAATGCTTTTCCTGGCATTCAACAGTAAAAAGGGAAAAAAGAGCCTTCAAACATATAATTAAATTTGTCGGACTTCCGCCAAGATGGAGGCGTAGGTGGAAACACCTTGCGTACGCACACAACCAAATCTAAGAACAACAAATTTTTAACAACAATAAACACAACCAAACCACACAGAAAATCGACAATACGGAGTCCGAAAACAACGTAATGCTCAGCTAAACTGGTAAGGGGCGAAGCCAGCAGCAGAGCGGGTTGACCAAAAAGATCCCTGACCCGGTGGTGCGCAAGCAGCCGAAGGCGCAGATCACAGGTGCGGCTGGCTGTCTGTGGTAGGTCACGCATTTGCGTGCAGAAAAACCAGTGAAGAGGTGAGCATTGAGACCGAACGGTGCAGGGCAGCAGGCTCCAACAATTCTGCTCGGATAAACAGGCCAGGGCGAGTGGTGGGACGGACTGGTAAGCGGAGAGGACCGCCATTGCTCCCTCTCTGACCCCGCCCCCACATACAGCATCACAAACCAGCGACCTAGGTGGCCCTGCCCTGGTAAACAACTAAGGCTCCACTACTGATACTTAACGGCCCGAACAGACCAAAATGGCTCAAGAACAACTCAGAGCCCCAGAGCCGATAAATCTAAGTGATGAAGAAATAGCAAAACTTTCAGATGCACAGTTCAAAACACTGGTCATCAGGATGCTCACAGAACTGGTTGATTTTAGTCACAAATTAGAGGAACATATGAAAGCTAAACTAATTGAAATGAATGGAAATGCACAGGAAACCAATAGTAATGGAAAGGAGACTGGGACTCAAATCAAGGGAGTGGACCAGAAAGAGGAAAAAAATGACCAAACAGAAAAGGATGAAGAAACAAGAATTCAAAAAAATGAGGAGAGGCTTAAGGACCTCCAGGACATCTTTAAATGTTCCAACATCCGAATTATAGGGGCACCAGAAGGGGAAAAGGAACAGCCATGAGTGGAAAACTTATTTGAACAAATAATAAAGGAGAAACTTCCCCAATCTGGCAAAGGAAATAGACTTCCAGGAAATCCAGGAAGCTCAGAGAGTCCCAAAGAAGTTGGACCCAAGAAGGAACACACCAAGGCACATCATCATTACATTAGCCAAGATTAAAATGAAGGAGAGAATCCTATAAGCAGCAAGAGATAAAGGAACAGTCACCTACAAAGGAGTTCCCATCAGACTGTCAGCGGATTTCTCAAAAGAGACCTTACAGGCAAGGAGAGGCTGGAAAGAGGTATTCCAAGTCATGAAAACCAAAGACCTACAACCAAGATTGCTCTATCCAGCAAAGTTTTCCTTTAGAATGGAAGGACAGATAAAGTGCTTCTCAGATAAGATCAAATTCAAGGAGTTCATCATCACCAAGCCCTTATTATATGAAATGTTAAGGGGACTTACCTAAGAAAAAGAAGATAAAAAATTTGAACAGTGAAAGGACAGCTAACTCAGTTATCAACAACCACACCTAAAACAAAAGCAAATTAAGAGGACAGCTGGATCAGGAGTGAATCATAGAAATGAAGATCATGTGGAGGATTAGCAACAGGGGAGTGGGAGAAGGAGAAGGGGGGAGAAGGTACAGAAAATAAGTAGCATAGACAGTAGATAGAAAATAGATAGGGGGGAGGGTAAGAATAGTAGGGGAAATGTAGAATCTAAAGAACTTGAGACACGTGTTCATGAACTAAAGGGGGGGAATGGTGGGGGAGGGGTGTGCAGGGGGGAATGGGGGGGAATAGAACAAATGTAATGGCATAATCAATAAAAAATGTTTTAAAAAATTTGTCTTTGTAGGTACACATAATATATACATCTAAACCTTTAGATGAAACATTGTTTTAAACTAGGGGTGGACACTTTTTTGTAATGGTACAGATCATAAATAACTTTAGATTTTGAGGACTATATAATAGGGCTCTGTCACAACTACTCAATTCTGCCATTGTAGTAAGAAAGTAACCACAAATGGTATGTAAATGAATAGGTGTGATTTTATTCCTACTTTACAAAGTAGGCATTACAGGTCGTAGGTTGTTGACCCTTGTTTTAGACAATTGCAGAAAGTCATAAAACAGTGGTTACAGCAAAAATTCATGCTAACTCATAAAATGTTCCTTTAATATATATATTTTTTTCTACTAGGAATTAAATATGGGCCAGCGATGCTCAGATACAAGAGGAATTACCTTTGAAGATGTGAAAGTGCCTAAAGAAAATGTTTTAATTGGTGAGGGGGCTGGTTTCAAAATTGCAATGGGAACTTTTGATAAAACCAGACCTCCAGTAAGTAATATGATCTCTTATGTATTACATTGAGTAGTTTTATTTTTAACATTGTAAGCTTGGCATGTATTTCTTTTTTAATATCTGCTTTATAATTATTTTATATTTTAGAATTATTCAGTTCTTTTGCTGCCTGTCACAGAAATTATTTTAGCAAATACAAAATTACTGTAATCGGTGCTAGATTTACAGAGGCAGTTTATACTAAGTTTAATCATTTCTGCTGATATGCATAAGGGAGAACCCAAAAAACCCAGAATTGTCTTCTAGTGGGCAGGCCCCTTGTACAGGCTTTTCTGGCTCGGTGAGTGTTCTAGGAATGTATCTGTATCAGTGTACCAACTGGCATTGTTGTAAGAGGCTGCATTTGGCTTCAGTGAAATTTTTTTTGAAGATTCTTTCAAAGCATTTGTGCATTTCATGATGGGTTATTAATGAGTACACTCACACCATGCTGAGTGTTTAGCGATTTTTGACCCAAAACAACATGACCCTCATGCTGCACTCTCCCCATTCACCCTACCTTGCCTGGAGCAACATTTTTTTTTTTGTTCCCCAATGAAAAAAACCCTCAAAGGGAAACATTGTGCCTATGTGAACGAGGTGAAACAAAAAGGGCAAAGGCATTGAAAGATATCAAAAATCAGCGAATTCAAAACTTAGCAGTGGGAAAAAAATGGCTTGATAGGTGTATTGCATCAAATGGGGAGTACTTTGAAGGTGACTGAAGTTTAAATGTAAGAATAAATATACAATGTTTTATAAATCAATTCAATTTTTAGGGATATTGAATCATACCCTGCTCATACTCATTTTTTTTCATTCATTAGGGATATTTTCTCTGGAAAGCTTTCCTTTGTTAAACTGAAGAATGATTTGTCTCTAGCAGTGATCCTATACCTCACAAGTGTCTTCCACTAATCTTAAATTCATAAATATATAAATTTAAAAGCTGCTTTCCCTCCCCACCCCACCCTAGTCTCTTGTTGCCTTAAACTATAGGTTACCTCTCTGTATAATCCTTAATTTGGAATCTTAGACAAATAGCATTTATACTGTGTGTTTTAAAGTGAGCGTGAGCTTTTGCTTTGTAAAATGTTATGATGCTAGGTCGCAGCTGGTGCCGTGGGACTAGCACAGAGAGCTTTGGATGAAGCTACCAAGTATGCCCTGGAGCGGAAGACTTTTGGAAAGGCCCTTGTTGAGGTAATTTTAATATTGTACTTACTTTGTTCAAATGTAGATACATTCATCTTCATCAAAATATTTGAAAATTATTTTTTAAGTACAAACTATTTCTGCTCTGGTAGCAAGAAGATACTGTGATCTGTCAGGATGACTGTCAAGAGTAGATTTTCTTTACACTGCCACTAACTTTTGTCAGCTGAGGGAATTGTGTTAAGAAAAGAAAAAAGAACAGCCAGTATTTCCTGAGTACTTGTGGTATACACGACACTATGCTATACATTTTATTGTCTACTTCTCCCAGTACCTTGGCTTGTTTTGCTCATATAATCTCCACTTAACATTGGGAAACTGAGGCTGAGAATGATTATATAATTTGTCCAAGATCACACAATTTTTTATTCAATAATGTATTTATTTTTAGAGAGGGGGAGGGAGGGAAAAAGAGGGTGAGAAACATCAATCAATGTGTCGTTGCCTCAAGCATACCCTCCACAGGGGACCCAGCCTGCAACCCAAGCATGTGCCCTAGACTGGGAATTGAACCAGCAACCCTTTGGTTCTCAGGCTGGCACTCAGTCCACTGAACCACACCAGCCAGGGAAAGATCACACAATTTATACATTACAGATCCAGGACTTCATTTCATGTTCTTAATCCATGTTACTTTTCATGTCTTCTTGATTATCATATAATTGCAGTACTAAAGAGTTATCTTCCATGCATTTCCAGGGAAATGTTTACCTCTTACCTCTTCAAGTATTGAAGAGATGTATTATTTTTATTGTCTCCCGTAACTCTCTATAGGTTGTACACTGAACACCTCCTTGTTTTGTCCCCATTTGTCAGTGGGGCTCAAACTGATGAAAGATCAATTTGTTTTTAATTTTTGATCGTGGACCATTATTTTTGTAAATATAAGAACGTCACAACAATATCAAGTTGTTATAAAGGTTTCTAAATGTTTGCTCTCACTTTCTATACCATGAACCAGTAACCGTTTGTGTACTGGTTCACAGATCAAATTTGGATTAGTACTGCTCTGTGTCCATTAAATCTCAGTTTCATTATTTATCTCTCTATGTTGTATTCTAGATAATTTTCCCAGACAGTTTTCCAGTTCTCTGATCCTGTGCCTAATTTGCTACTTAATCCTATCTATTAAATTATTCAATGACTTTTTTATTTACAGAAGGTATCGTCAGTCCTTTTTCAGTTTCACCCCTTCTTTTTTTATGGTTTCCTGGTTTCTTAACACAGCTTCTCTTTCTCTTGTCTCCTTAATTACATAAAAATACTTCCTTTATAGTCAGTTTCAGATTTTCTTCTGTTATCTCCACATTCTTTGGGTATTAGTCTTTGGGTCTGTTGCATCTTCTACTCTCTGTTATGGCCGGTTATTTTCTACCCCCTCCTCACACCCTCCTCCACATCCACCACCCCCTCCACAGTCACCACAGTGCTGTCCATTGCTCCTGTGTTCTCTCCCCTAATCTCTGCTTGTAGGTTTATCCGAGGTGGGTATTATCTTTTTTCAGTACATTGTGGTAGCATCCTAGAGATTGACTTTTATACTTTTTTGTACTTTTATCGATACCCCAGAGATTTCACCATTTCAAGAGCTGGTTTTCTTTTATTTATTTATTTTTTGCATTAATTTTCTTCACTTAGGAATCTTGATCCACAGAGGCTGTACACAGTGATTTCACAGTTTAAGAGATTCATTTTTGTTTTTGAGCCTTTCAGGCAGCGTCCTGGGCAAGAGAGAAGCTTTGTGGCCTTCCCACCCTTATGAGCAGAGACTTTTAGTTCTCCCTTTGGAAAGAATCTCTTTTCCTAGGTGCTTTTCTTTGCATTCATGGAATCCGAAGTTTAGCCTCTCACCTTCATGCTTGCATCCAAGTCTTCTGTTCTTGTGTGTTCATTAAAACTCCAGCTACTTTCCCATTGAACCCAAATCTCAGTCCAATTTTTTTTTTCCCTTCTCTATGCCGTTTCTTTTTAGTTCGGATTTAAATTCCTTCTTGGAGGTGCCTGGTGATTTGTTTCTTTCCCTCAGCTCTTTTTTTTTTCAATCAAGCATTTCTCTGTGGCCAGAAATACAGTTTCCATTAGCTCATATTGCTGGAACTGCATAAATACAGATTGGTAAAATATATATCACTGACTATTAATCTAGCTTCCTCTTCAGTAGATACGACTGCAAATACTAATCGGTGCAGACCTGTCATCATTTACAGGTCTTCATTCCTGTAGCACTTCTTTTAATGTATCTTATTTTAAAGCATATGTTCCATTCTGTGTTCATTATAACTTGTACAGTATGAGTAAACTTACCTAATAAAACTTATCTGTAGTCCCATCATTCAAAGATAATTACAGTGGACATTTTGCTCTATATTCTTAATCCATAAATATATTTTCCCAAGTCTGTAACTGTACTGTGTATTTGAATTTTTCAGTTATCAATATGTGGTGAACATACATCCATCCTATCATGTATCTTGGCCATATAACTCATACAGTTCTATAAATTGTATCTCTTACTATCTTTTAGTGAAAGTACCCATCTTATATCTCCTATTTGATTATGGATCTCTAGAAGATAAGAGGCATCTTTTATTTGACCTTGTCATGGCACTCGCTTTCCCCTGTCAACATCTGATATTCATTATTATTCATTGTATGTAGCAATTTTCTTTAAAAATCCTAGAAGAGACTCAAAAGATATATACAGTTTGTAGTATTTATGCTAAAAGTGCATAACTTCATTCCAATCCTAAGAGAACATCAGACAAACCCAAATTAGTACAGTCTACAAAAATAACCAATCATTACTCTTTAGAAATGTCAAGGTCATGAAAGACAAGGCAAGACTGAGGAATTGTAACAGACTGGGGAAGACTAAGAAGAAAAAACAACTAAACTCAGTTAGAATTATATTTGGGATCCTTGAAAAGAAAAAATGACAAGAGTAGAAAACTTGGCCAAATTTGAATGAAGTTTATAATTAAGTTGATAATATAGTACCAGTGTTAATGTCCTATTCCTGGTAAGTAAGTATGCTGTGATTTTGTAGTATGTTAGCATTGGAAGAAACAGAGTATAACTTTTTCAGTCTGAGATTAGTTTAAAAATTTAGGAGAAAACCTTTTAAGTTAGTCAATGATATTCTTAAACTTTTTTCTTTTTAATTCTAGCACCAAGCAGTATCATTTTTGCTGGCTGAAATGGCAATGAAAGTTGAACTATCTAGATTAAGTTACCAAAGAGCTGCTTGGGAGATTGATGCCGGTCGCTCAAATACCTATTATGCCTCTATTGCAAAGGCATTTGCTTCAGATACTGCAAATCAGGTAGCTACTGATGCTGTGCAGATTTTTGGAGGTGCTGGATTTAATTCAGAATATCCTGTGGAAAAACTAATGAGGGATGCCAAGATCTATCAGGTAACATCAAAAATAATTCTTGTTTTTTAGGAAACCGTGTACCTATAGATGACAATAGATTGTGATCATTTAGAGCAGGGATGTCAAACTCATTTTTGCCGAGGGCCACATAAGCCTCTTGGTTGCCTTCAAAGGGCCAAACTAATTTTAGGACTGTATAAATGTAACTACTCCTTAACTGTTAAGGAGTTGAAATTACATTTGGCCCTTTGACGGCAACCACGAGGCTGATGTAGCCCCTAGTGATAATATGTTTGACACCTTGGCTTAGAGATTTTATGCCACTAGTAGTAATAATAATAAATAACACCTCAGATGGTTTTAAGTTGAAGTTTTTAGAACTAATTGACAGAAATAATGTTATCTTTAAGTATATGCCTTAGGAGAAAAATAGGTTAACAAAGTAAATGGTCTAGATATATACATGGGTCTAGATCAGCCTTCTTTGAGTCTTGACATCCTAACTACTTGTAACTCACCCTTTGCTCTCCAAAAAGTATGCATAGCAGTTGTTTATGTGTGTATGTGTGTGTGTGTATATGTATGAAACACTACCTGATGATTCCCAGTAACATAAGATACAGTTTTATTGATATTGGGGGGGGGGAGAGATAGAGAGAAACATCAATGTGTTGTTGCACTTACTGATGCATTCATTGGTTGATTCTTTTATGTGGGTTCCATCCCTAGTCAGAGATCGAACAGCCTTGGAATATTGGGATGATGCTCTAGTAAGCTTAGCTTCCTGTCCAGGACAGTATGCATAGCAGTCAAAATTAAATTACTTTATTTTGAATGTTGCCTGACAATGATCGAATTGACTGAAAGCGTAATAAGGAGTAAAAAAACCAACATGAGGAGACAGGTATAGATAATTCTGTTTTTTAAATTAAATTGGTGGGGTTAGAAAAATTTAAGAGATGGGAGAAAAGTAATAAATTAGATATAAATGCACACATTCTCTGCATGTAGCTTAAGTAAGTCTAACCCATGTTCTTCATTATCTCATCCCTTGCTTCCCTCTACCTCTGAAGCTATTTGAGAAATCCAGTCATTTGAATTCTAGTAGTAGAATCTTAGAATGCTAGAGTGAGGAGGAAATTTAGACATAGTACAGCCTCTCAGTTTAGACAAGAAAAAAGTGAGGCCAGGATCTGTGCTGTATCCAAAGGTGCAGGTTTATCTGGTGATACTATCTCTCTTCTGCAGCCTATAATTATTATAATTATCAACCATTTAACTTTTATGTGCCATCTGAGAGATGAACTACCAAATTGCTAGGATTAAAAGTTCAAATGGAAGTGAAGGTTGGCTGCAAGGAAGTGAACAAAACCAAATTTTTCCAGCATCATTTTCTTTAGCAGCTCTGTTCCTTAGGCAGCAAGAGAAAAAATCAGATGCAAGGAATGGAAAATGACTGAAGGTAACAACTAGCTAAAAACAGTTCAGAAAAATTGGAGAAATAGTTTTAGCAACGTCAAACTTCAGGTTTCCTAGACTTGTTTGAAACAGTAATATTTGATTTTTTTAAGACTCCTCCAAAGTTCTGGTAAATCACTTTTTATAATAATTTAAAATCTTTACAAAATTATATATTTTCATGGGTATCACAGTCAGATTTTGAATCACTATACTATGTATGGTTTGATTCAGTTGGGTATTACAGTAGAGCTTACAGTACTTTTTAAAATATTGGGTAAATTGAAGTATTTGTGTAATGAAGATACTTAACTTACCTGTATATCTTTTTCCTTGCAGATTTATGAAGGTACAGCACAAATTCAAAGGCTTATTATAGCTCGTGAACACATTGGCAAGTATAAAAATTAACAGGATCACTATAGAGCCCTGGGTGATGTGGCTCAGCTGATGGGAGCTTTGTTCAGTACACCGAAAGGTCCTGGGTTCGATCCCTGATTGAGGCATGTTCAGAAGCAACTGATCAATGTCTCTGTCTCTCTTCTCCTTCCTCTCTAAGTAAAAAAAATTCTCCTTCAAAAAAAATTGCTTGGGGAAAAATGACTATAGAAACATGATTAATAGACTATAACCCACTGTTTAAGCTACAGAAACAAGAAAGGGCTTCAAATTTTTCCCAGTGAAAATCTTAAAATAAGTGCTCTTAAGTAAACATGTGCAACTGATTCTAATAGTAATTTTACCTTTGTTTAACTTTATGACTTGCCTTTCCTCAAATAGATTTGGTTTCATTAAAATTATGTGTTGTTCTTAGTACCACTGTACTTGAATTATATTAACCTTGAGAAATACACTTGTTTTGTTATTTTGACCTTTTAAAATTAAAATAGCAGAAGTCAATATTTTCCCAATGACAGAAACATGGGCTGATAAAAGTATCGAGGATATTTTAAAATTTACATTGAGAAAACATTGTAGGATGTGGATGCCATCAAATAACTTGCCAGTGACTTTCTAGACTTAATGATATTGTAGTAGAGTAGTTCATTTTGCTGCAATTTGGAAAGTATTTGTTTTCAGTTTGTACAGTAATAGTAAAAAATTCAGTGCTTATATTGTCTCATTATACAGGAACCAGAAATTACTTGAAAATCTGTTTAATTCTGAGCCCACAGTTCACTTACCTTATTTGTAATCAATCAATAAAATTTGCTTTAAATTATTTTATGACTTTATTGGTCTGTGGGTAGCCTTTGGCCTATTGTACACAATCTCACTTCATCTGCATACATTCTGAAAAGAAACTTAAGTAAAAGTGTTCAGCATTTATCAGTGTCTGTATTCTTTCCAGGAAGTATTATTACTTCGTGCAATAGTGGATACCTAATTTATATACTACGATGGGAAAACAAGTCATGTTTTGATTTTGAACTACATGAAGTTACCTGCCCATTTTTCATGAGATTTTATTATGAGATAGCTCAGAAAATACAAATGCAAAATAATGTAAGAATCAACGACTGTGGACCAGACTGGTGTGCCTCAGTTCCACAGTTGGGCATTGTCCTGCCAAGGGAAAAGACACTGGTTTTATTCCAGGTCAGGGCACATGCCTGGGTTGCAGGTTCTGTTCCCAGTAGGGTGATGTAGACACTGCCCCGCAGTGTCTGTGGTATTATGGATGAGATATGAGACAAATTCACATGGACTACCAAGTCCTGTGGAGAAAAGGGTACAGCACAGCTACTCCCTCAAGGAGGGAGTGTCTCAGAGCAGCCTGGCCACTCTCTCAAGGGGAGAGCACGCTGACACTTGGCTTGACAGAATTTTATTGGGTTTCAGTTTGCACAAGAATACAGGTAAAGTTCATTAATCATTGTCAGGTGGTAAGGATCAAACAATAGATAGCATACAAAGAACTATGAGGGCCTATTCTGAATCAGGGTCTGTTAGCTAAAGGACTACAAAACTTTGGGAAACAAACTCATTTCCTGCTTGGACCCTTATCACTTGAGAGTATTCTTAACAAGGTGGGTTCACAGGGTTTTATGTATTCTCTTTTTTTAAATTTATTTAATTGTTGTTCAAGTACACTTTTCTGTCTTTTATTCCCATCCCAGCTCACTCCCCACCCCAGTGCTTCTGCCTCCCTCCCATTTCCACCCCTCTTAGTTGTTGACCATGTGTCCTTTATACTAGTTCCTGTAAATCCTTCCCCTTTTCCACTGAAATTCCCTCCCCTCTCCCCTCATATAATAAGGGCCTGGTGATGATGAACTCCTTGAATTTGATCTTATCTGAGAAGGACTTTATCTGCCCTTCCATTCTAAATGAAAGCTTTGCTGGATAGAGTAATCTTAGTTGTAGGTCCTTGCCTTTCATGACTTGGAGTACTTCTTTCCAGCCACTTCTTGCCTCTAAGGTCTCTTTTAAGAAATCAGCTGAAAGTCTGATGGAAACTCCTTTGCAGGTGACTGTTCCCTTATCTCTTGCTGCTTCTAGGATTCTCTCCTTCATTTCAATCTTGGTTAATGTAATGATGATGTGCCTTGGTGTGTTTCTTCTTGGGTCCAACTTCTTTGGGACTCTCTGAGCTTCCTGGATTTCCTGGAAGTCCATTGCCTTTGCCAGATTGGGGAAGTTCTCCTTTATTATTTGTTCAAATAAGTTTTCCACTGGTTGCTGTTCCTTTCCCCCTTCTAGTACCCCTATAATTCAGATGTTGGAATGTTTAAAGATGTCCTGGAGGTTCCTCATTTTTTTTTAATTCTTGTTTCTTCATATTTTTCTGTTTGGTCATTTTTTTCTCTTTCTGGTCCACTCCTTTGATTTGAGTCCCAGTTTCCTTTCCATCACTATTGGTTTCTTGTGCATTTCCCTTCATTTCACTTAGTTTAGCCTTCATTTGTTTCTCTAATTTGTGACTAAAATCAACCAGTTCTGTGAGCATCCTGATGACCAGTGTTTTGAACTGTGCATCTGATAGGTTGGCTATTTCTTGGTCACTTAGAGTTATTGGCTCTGGGGCTTTGAGTTGTTCTTGAGCCATAATGTTTTGGTCTGTTCGCACCTGTTAGGTATGAGGGGCAGATCCTTAGGTGTTCACCAGGGCAGGGCAACTCAGTTGCTGGGTTGTGACTCTGTATGTGGGGGCGGGGTCAAAGAGGGGCAATAATGGTCCCCTCTGCTGCTTCCTGCCGCTGGGGCCTGCACAATCTCTCACTGCTCGCTCCTCAGCCTGGTTTATCTGAGCGCGAATGTGTGACCGTGGTCAGCCTGCCACCTTGTGCCCTACTGGATCTGTCCGTTGCAACCCCATACCTGGGATCTGCCAACCGCCACCCTCACCTGGGTCAGTCCTGCCGAGTTTTCCTTCACAACCCCACTCCACCAGCAACTGGCTCCACCCCTCTCACCAGTTTGGCTAAACATTTCCTTGTTTTCGGACTTCCATATAGTTCAATTTTCTGTGTGTTGGTTGCTTTTTTTTTTTACTAAAACTTTGTTGTCTTTAAACTTGGTTGTGCGAGGAGGTACAGTGTTTCTACCTACTCCTCCATCTTGGCCAGAGGTCCCAATTTTCTTAAATTTGTTGAGGCTTGTTTTGTGTCCTATTATGTGGTCTATCTTTGAAAATGTTCCATGTGCATTTGAAAAGAATGTGTATTTAGCTTCTTTGGGATGAAGAGCTCTATATATATCAGTTAAGTCCATTTCATCTAGGGCATTGTTCAATGCCACAATATCTTTGTTGATATTTTGGTTGGAGGATCTGTCCATTTTTGACAGTGTGGTGTTAAAATCCCCTACTATAATTGTGTTGCTGTCAATATCTTTCTTGAAGTCCTCTAAGATTTTCTTTACATATTTGGGTACTCCTATGTTGGGTGCATATGTATATATTTACAATGTTTTGTCTTCTTGGTGGATTCTTCCCTTGAGTATTATGAAGTGACCTTCTGGGTCTCTATTTATAGCCTGTTTTGAAGTCTATTTTGTCTGATATGAGTATTGCTATTCCAGCTTTTTTTCCCTGTCCATTTGCTTGGAAAATATGTTTCCAGCCCTTCACTTTTAGTCTGTGTAGGTCTTTTGTCCTGAGGTGGGTTTCTTGTAGGCAGCATATGTGTGGATCATGCTTTCTTATCCATGCAGCTATTCTATGTCTTTTGATTGGAGCATTTAACCCATTTACTTTTAAGGTTGTTATTGACAGGTACTTATTTATTGCCATTTTTGTACCTGTGTTCCTCTCTGTCTCTCTCTTTTCCTTCCTTTCCTTAAAGCACTCCTTTTAGCATTTCTTACAGAGCTGGTTTGTTGGAGGTGTATTCTTTTAGACTTCTTTTGTCTTGGAAGCTCATTATTTGGCCTTCTATCTTGATTGAGAGCCTTGCTCAGTAAAGTATCCTTGGTTGTAGGCCTCTAGTTCTCATTACTTGGAATATTTCTTGCCATTCTCTTCTTGCTTGGAGTGTTTCCATTGAGAAGTCAGCATCTAACCTTATTGGGGCTCCCTTGTATGTTACTTCTTTTTCTCCCTTGCTGCCTTTAAGATTCTCTCTTTATCTTGGAATTTTGCCATTTTAATGATGATGTGTCTTTGAAGTGGGCCTCTTTGGGTTCCTCTTGATTGAGACTCTCTGTGTTTCCTGGATTTATGTAACTTATTATCTCATCAAATTAGGGAAGTTTCCATCATTACTTTTTCAAATAAATTTTCTATCCCTTGCTCTTCTTCTTCTCCTTCTAGTATCCCTATTATTCGGTTATAATTATGTTTTATATTGTCTTGCACTTCTCTTAATCCCTGTTCATTCTTTCCGAGCCTCTTTTCCTTTTGTTGCTCTTTTTGGGTGGTTTTTTTTTCTACTTTGTCCTCCAATTTGCTGATCTGATCTTCTACTTCATCCATCCTGTTTTTGTTTCCTTCCACTGTATTCTTCAGTTCAGAAATTCTGTTCTTCATTTCCTCTTGGCCCTTGCTGATAGTTTCTGTTTCCTTTTTCATGTTGATATAGTTTGCGGTGAGTTCATTGTAGCTCCCCTGTAGTTTCTGGTAGCTCATTGTGAGCTCTTTGAACTTCCTGATAACCAGTGCTTTGAATTCAGTGCCTGATAGCTGACTTGCCTCTATTCCATCTATCATTCTTTCTGAGGCTTCCTCCTTTCCTTTCATTGGGGGTTTGTTTCTTTGTCTTCCCATTGTTTGTGAGACTCTTCTTGTTAGCCTCTGCTTGTAAATTGATTTGTTCTGGTTTCCTGGGTTTATGATGTGAACTTCTGTGGTATAATACCTGCGAGATTGAGTGGTGTAGTCTCCTTGATCTCCCCAGCTCACTGGTCTTGGGCTGTCCTTTATGTTGGCTCTGTGTTTGTCTTTGGGTTTTGGTTGTTTTGGGGTCTTTCTTTTGTGGGTCCTTCCCAGCAGCTGGTTAACTGATGGTCTCTCTGTCCACCACCTGTTTTAATTTGTTGTGCTGGTGAGGGCAGGTTGTTTTGAAGCTAATTCTTTCGTGTGTATAGGGTTTTGAGGATTCTCTTTTGCTCTTGTTCAGTTGCTTGCACTGGGTAGTTTCTCCACTGTTCAGTTGTATATCCAGATAGATCCTGGATTGAAGTTTGTGTGGTTTCCACTCCCTCCTTCACCTTCTTCTGCTGTTATCTGTTGGTGGTTCCTTTGTTGTTGAGTTTCCTCTTCCAGTGGGTATCCTGGTGTTCACCGCTTCCCACTACTCTTTTTTTTGTGATCAGTTGGAGGGGAAGGCAAAATGGTTTATGTCAGCAGGAGTGTATTTTATGATATTTACAGTAGCAGCCGGTAGAGAAGAGATAGGAGATCCTTTGGCTATGTATAGTGTTAACTGTTATCTTCAACCCAACTATCCACTTTTAAGGAAGGATGGAAAGAAGATAAGACTCTTGTTGGGGAGGGAAGGTTTGTGAGTTGGATCTAGAAAGCAGTGAGGTTGTGGGAGGTCAGATTCTGAGGTAAGGTGAGAATAAAGGATAGTAAATAGGTGTAGAGTGTGAGAGAATAGAGTTAATCACTACAGCAATATAGTTCAGGAAAGAATGAAGTGGGCTAAGATCTGGGAGAGGTGTTGTGTAATATTTACAATTGTAAATAATAGCTATTATTTACAATAATATTAGAGCAACAATCATATGACAGAATCTTTGAGATACCAAGAATAAGGAGTATCAGACCTTCAGTAGTGT